GGGTAGGGGAGCAACGATGGCTGGGGAACAAGCGATACAGGCGGATGGGGCAACACCGGCGATAACTGGGCAGATGCTGGCGGCGGATGGGGAACCGCAACTGGCGGCAACACAGGCGGCTGGGGCACCTCCGGCGACGGCTGGTGAGTTTCCCAAGAAGAACAAAGGGGGGGAATGGAAGAAGAAACCGAACCTCCTATTGTTCCCCTCGGTTGCCCCCCGCGCCTCCCTACACCTGCGCTACCTCCGCCTGACGTCCAACCACATCGCGACCCCTGGGATACTATCGACTGGGGCAATGAGCCCTCGACCCCACGTCTCACAGTCTACGGACCTGATCCCGAGCCGCGCGAGCCTACCCTTGTCCCCGGCACGATCCGTGGGACCAACATCCCCCTCTCCGTGATTCCCGACAGGGAATTCCTTGCACTGATGCTGACAACAGCGAACGAAGAAGAAGAAGAAGAAGAAGAAGAAGAAGAAGAAGAAGAAGAAGAAGAAGAAGAAGAAGAAGAAGAAGAAGAAGAAGAAGAAGAAGAAGAAGAAGAAGAAGAAGAAGAAGAAGAAGAAGAAGAAGAAGAAGAAGAAGAAGAAGAAGAAGAAGAAGAAGAAGAAGAAGAAGAAGAAGCTGGCGGAATCTACCCCAGTGCCTGAAGAAGACCCCGAAGCAGTGCGCGCGCGCTACACGCGCACCTCTGGACTCCGCGCCAACGACGACCTTTGGCATCAGCGCCTCGGTCACCCCTCGCGCGTGACGCTGAAACACTGCATCGAGGCATGCGTGTTTGCGCTTGCCGCACTCCTGCGCCCTGACGGCTCCGAAGTCAGTAGCACATCACAGCCGCGCAACTGCACCGTCTGTCCCGAAGCTGCACTGATTCATCAGCCGTTTCCCCCGCTGTAACCAGGAACCAACCGGGTGTCGCAGCAGGGTGTCGCAGCAGGAACTCAAGGAACCTTCGCATTGCCACCTCCGAAAACCTCGGTGAACTAAGGTGGTGTCCGGCACACGCTGACGCGTAAGGATGGCCGGAGGATCTGTAGGTCAGACGAATCTGACGGCTGAAGCGCAGGCCAACCCGGTTGCGACAAACGAGGAGACGACGACGATCAGCACCACCGCCCTCGCACAACTGCTTCAACGACTTTCAACTCTGGAGCAAGGGCTCCAGACATTGCGGAATGGCGACGCGGGAACATCTTCCCAACCCTCTCAACCGGCTGTGAATGGCCACAATATCGCCCCGCACACCTTCTCCCTCAACACAAATGGCTCAACACCCAAGACTCCCCGTCTCAACGATGAAGCAATTCTCTCCGCTCAATCCAGGTTTTTGAGTATTTGAAAAATATAGGCAAGTGCTTGTTTTGACGGCAGAGACTTCTATACCTGGAGCTTTGAGCTGGAGCTGCTGATGCAAAACGCGCAGATTTTTCACTATTTCGACAGGAGCTACGCGGGACCCACGACCGACTCTTACGATGCCAAGGCGCAGTACTACAGTGAATCGCTAATGGCGTACTGCGTGCTTCTTCGCAACATGTCGCCAGCGGAGCAACTAGGAATTCGTTCCTACAAGACTACGCCCGCCCAAGATTTGCAGAAACTTCGGACACTTGGCGGAGCGATGCAAATTCCGCTCTCGCCCTCGTCAGGCCAATCCGAGCACTTGGTCCAGCCGACAAGATGCACGACACGACACGCGTCAAGCCCAGGGCTATCAGCCCCAGTCGCGCAATCTGAATCCAACAGTTCCGCACTAGCACCAGCAGCCGTCGCAACCTGCGCCCGCCCGCAACGTCATCGGCAACATCACGATGACACACGCGACTGGATCTCGCCGTCGCCGTGTGCGTACGCCGTCACCAGAGCCAGCACGTCATCCGATCGGAGCATTCACGGCCAACAACCCGTTCACGCCCCGACACGATTTCGGCGACGACGTACTGGCCGTACGCGATGCATCACGCCGTGCGGGTGCACAATCTCCTCTCCACCACCGCCATCACAGGGAACCTGTCTCCGCACATGAAATGGACTGGCGAGAAGGGCGACACCTCTATGCTCCGCGTGTGGGGGTGCATGGTGCAATATCGCCCGCGGATGTCAACCATCGGCAAGTTCGCAAGCCGCGCGCGCTGGGAGATTCACCTCGGCATAAGCTACAAATACAAGGCGTGGATTATTCTGGACCTGCTCAGCTAGAAAGTCATGAACGCGCGCGACGTCATCTTCTACGAGCGGCTCAACCTCGCCCAGTTCCGCGAAGACGAGCACTGTGAACCGTGTTTACGCAAACAACGGGCACAGCTACGCCACCCAAGAGGATGAAGCTGCTGCTGCCATCGTGGAGCAGGACAACGTGAATGCGTTTCCTGACATCGGCAGAAGCAACGACGACGATGACGACGGCAGCAACGGCTCGCCCCCAGGCCCCGCAGGTGTAAGCAGCAGGGACGCTCCGCCACCACCACCACCTGGGCCCGATAGCGATGACGACGATGTACAGGAGGCCATCCCACAGCATCGCCACGACAACACCATCTCCGTGCTGCAGCTATTGGGCCTACACACAGCCACCTCCACAGCTCCGTGCGTCATCGAGCCAAAGAACCCACGACAGGCGCTGACAGGACCACACAGCAAAGAGTTTCGCGAAGCCATGGATGCAGAGATCAAGGCGTTAGAGTCGCGCGACACATGGGTACTCGTCGACCGTGCAGCCATCAAGGGAAGGAGAGTGCTCTCGAGGAAATGGGTCTACCGCGTGAAGACCGCAACAGACGGGACGGTCGAGCGCTTCAAGGCACGCTGGGCCGTACGCGGGTACGATCAGAGGCATGGCATTGACTTCGACCAGACATTCGCTCCGGTCAGCCGTCACACTTCTGTCAGTATTCTGCTTGCCATTGCTGCCGCAAGGCACCTACCTCTCCGTCAGATCGACGTGAAGAATGCATTCCTATATGCGCTGGTAGATGCAGTAATCTTCGTGGAGCAGCCGCACACTTCCGGTGAAAGGGACCCATGCGTCTGCCAGCTGAAGAAGTCGCTTTACGGGATAAAACAAGCACCACGCCTCTGGCAGCAGCACCTGCACAAATCCTGCTCGATATAGGATTACAGCAGCTGCCGCACAACCCGGGCATGTATCGCCTTCATTTCTGCGGCGACAACAACCTGCTCTTCGCTTCCGTCACCTGCAGGCCTGATCTCTCGTACATCGCGAGCCAGCTGGCTCAGTACTCTCGCAATCCAATGGCTGAACGTCTCCTAGATCTTCAGCGCGCCCTTCAATTCTTCGTCTCCACGCCCAACATTGGGCTCTGCTACTCCGCAGTCACTACCCCGTCCTTCAACCTCATCGGCTACGTGGACGCCGATCATGCAGCTGACCCCGACAATCGACGGTCCAGAACCGGGTTCCTGTTTCGCCTCGAGCCAACAGGGCCCATCTCCTGAAACTCGCAGAAGCAGGAACTAGTTGCCCTGTCATCGGCCGAAGCTGAATTCATCGCCGCGACAGCAGCAGTTCGCGAGGGGCTTTATCTACAGGAGCTCCTGCAGGAGGCGAAAATCCCAACTTCGCCTACCTTTCGCCTGCACTGCGACAACCAGAGCGCGATCAGGATCGCGAACAAGCCAGGATTCGTCAACCGCACCAAACACATTGCGATGCGGTACTTCTTCGTCAAGAACGAAGTTGACAAGGGCAACGTTGACTTTACCTACTGCCCGACGTGTGACATGGCAGCTGACTTCCTCACGAAGCGACTGCCACGCCAGCAGTACCAGCACTGCTCCGAACTCAGCGGGGTAGTCAAGCGGGTCAAGACCTGCTACGGTCAGGAATGAAGGGGTGTTACGAATAGTAAATGGTGAAAAGGCACTGTGCACTCCTGACAATAGCAAGCGAGTCACACAGTAAGGAGTACGAAGACGAAGCGGCAGAATGACGCGAAGAGTCGCGTACGGTTACGAAGCATCTGGACCGTCAGGGCAGACAGCATCAGGCAGCAGCAGTGGCGAGGATTCTGCCGTAACAGTTCGTAACCGTCTGGAGTCGCACGGTTGGATTTCCTTGTAATAAGGAAATGTACCCCTTAGAGTACATGGCTAGCAAGGTCGTTTCGTATTCCCCTGTACTCTTATTTATACGAATGTATTTGCATGTAAATATTATCTCAGTCATCCTATATTCACTCTGATCTGAGGTCAAGGGCCCACCACTGCAACACACTCTTTGCGAACCTTCCTGAGGAGATCCTAGGGGCAATCTACCGTACTTTCTGATCGCAACAAGGTGGGTGTAAAGGGAAATAGTGAATAGCGAAGGGTATGTGCGGTCGAAAACAAGCGTTTGAGTTCTGGGTTTGCATTTTTACCCTGATTTGACTGGATTGTGATTACTTCTTTATGCACCTTAAACTACTAGTATTTAGTATCATAAACCTGACCACCGTGTCACGCCTACATCTAGGGCACAGAGAGGGGACCACCGTCGTGTTGAGTTGAGTGCTGGGAAGTGGTTGAGGGGAAGGGGGGGGGGGGTGGGGTTTGTTGTGGGGAACAAAAGTCTGAGGGGAGGTGTTGGAGAGCACGAGAGGTGTTTTGGTTCAGTTCCAAACTGCAAAGCAAGGCTCAGAGCCTCAACTCAGAGTTTCAAGTTTCAGCAGCTGTGTCGACATCAGCGAGGTTGACTCGGGGCATCCTCAATTCGGGCCATGCCTCTCAAATACCGTGGGGTTCAGTAACAGTTCAGGTACCTCGGTAATCATTACACCCTATATTTGGTTTCCGAAGGGCATATACGAGTGAAGAAACGGCTTCAGAAGCATACGAAGAACAAGCAAATGGTCCTTGTACGATGGAGGAGACAATTGTACAGTGGTCCTACATTTGTGGTCCTAAACTTAGGTACGGTATTGCACAGCCAGCACAGACAGACAACACAAGTTGAGCATGATAGCAACTCAACCAGCGTCCAGCTAGAATTTGTTCAGGTGAAGAGAACGAGGAAGGCAATTGCAGCGCCAACAAGGGCTTGCAGGGCCAACACGGCGACAAGCAGACAGAGCCTCTGTCGATTGGAAAGGAGGGGGGAGGAGCATAGGGGGAAGAAGGGAGGGGGGGTGTGGGTGTGTTGTGATGAACATCATGAGTGCATGGACCAAACGAGAGGAAGAATGAAGGCTGACTTGCTGCATCTCATGGGTGAGTAGGGCGACCTTGCAACATCAACTGCTGGAAATTTGAGGCGTAGGGAGATGAGACCGAGGGGCAGCAGATGTGGTGTGTGTCAGTGAGCCCAATTGACATGGCAGACAATGGTGCCATAGCAAGGCGTGATTCGTGAACAGCATGCTAGCGTGCATGCAACAGCACGCTTGCATGGAAGGGAACAGCATGCATGCATTGGATGTATGCATGGCATGGCATGGCACACCATCCTTTCAGGCATCCTACATTGTGCCGTAGGCCAGACGGAATGAAGGAGGCTGATGAGGACTGCCAGCAGGTCACACATGCGGGAAAGCGTGCAAGATGGGTGGGTTGGGGGAATGAAGGAGTGCAGGAGGGAACATGGGAGAGTGAGAGAGAAGGGCGAGAGGGAGAGTGAGAGAGAGACTGAGCTTGATGGGTGGTCGTCGCACCAAGGCAGAGTGCAGTTGAAAATGCGGATGCACTGTGAGCAGCAAGCAGCGAAGCATGTTATAACATGGTAGTAGTGGAAAACGCATTGGTTGGCAGTCAGCACGGCAGTCAGCACGGCAGTGAGCACGGCAGTCAGCACGGCAGTCAGCACGTACGGCAGTCAGCACGGCATCCGGCTCAGCAGTGGGCAGGGACGTGAAAGCACGCGCATCATCTCATGAGTCAGTTGCATGCTGCACGAAGCAAACACAAGGTATGAGCGCAGAAGCTAGAACTGCAAGGCCCCCACAAAAGACCCATAACTTACATCAGCTGAATCTGCAGCCACCACCCCAGAAGATCCAACAGCCATGCCAGCTCTCCCCACCCCCACCCCCAACCCCACTCCCACAGCTGCCCCCACGCCCTCCTCCTGCTCCCCGCTCCTCCCTGACCCCCCCGCAGAGTCAACACCAACATCAATCCTCGAGTAACCCAGCAGCAGCGACTCGTCATCGTCATCTTCACCACTGGCACCCACTGCATTCCGACCCCCTCCTCCCATCAACCTCCCTGTGTTGCCTGCTGCACCGCTCATGCATGCCACCAGGCCGGCACCCCCACTGCCTTGCTGCTGCTGCTGCTGCTGCACTCGCCCTGCCCCTGCCACCACCGCCCCTCCTGCTGACCTGCTACTGCCTCCGAACCCGCGCGACAAGAAACCCAGCACGTCACCACCAGCACCAAAGCCAACGGCGCTGAAACCAGCAGAGCTCGCACCACCACCGCCCGCAACGGCCGAAGCAGAAGCAGACGCAGGAGACGCAGCCATAGCAGCAGAAGCACCAGCAGAAGCACTCTCCTCGGCTGACTTGCTACTGGAGCTACGACCCACTCCTAAGCCTAAACCAGTCCCAGCGCCACTCCCACCCTTTCTCATCCCCTCCCTGGCGCCCAACCCGCCGCCCTCCTTCCCAATCCCATCCTGCCCATACCCCTCCTCGTCCAGCCCATACAGCCCCAGGTGCTGAAACGCCTCTGCGTCACTCAGCGAGGACGACCGCTGGAACCCCACCTCCTTGCGCCGCTCTAGCAGCCTTTCCCTACACTCCATCTCCACCTCCGACCCACCCCCCCCGCCCCCTGCTCCCCCAAGCCCCCTAAACCCCCCGAGAGCAGACAGCCGAGCACCTGGCCGGCCTCCTCTCAGGGGTTGAGGCGGGGCGCCACAGAGGTCTAAGGGGGAGAGCAGGCGCAGGGAGCGGCTGAACTGCTGCCACGTGCCGGACACCGATGCGTTGAAGGATGAGTCGGGGAACTGGGCTGAGAAGGAGGAAGCGGAAGGAGGTGCTGTGGAGAGGCGGAGACCGGTGCGAGGGAGAGAGAGGCCGGCCTTGGTGAACTTAGAGGCGCTTGGCGTGTTGCCCTCGCTATAAATAGAGCCGTTGCTGTCACTGCCACCACCACCACCACCGCCACCGCCACCGCCACCGCCACCGCCACCGCCACCGCCACCGCCACCGCCACCGCCACCGCCACCGCCACCACCACTGCTTGAAGGCCGTTTCAGCCTCGAATACTCCCCAACCAAAACACTTTCCCGTTCCCCGTACCCTCCCATTCCCATTCCCCCCCTGCTGCCATCTCCGGGGGCCCTCCTACCCCTGCTTCTATCCCCAGGGACTTCAGACGACCACCCCCTACGTAGCACGCGGTTACTGACCGGCCGGGATGAGGACAAGGAGGCGGATATAGGGGAGGACGGGAATGAAGAGGTGAGGCTGGCGAAATCGGTAGCGGTAGAGGATTGCACGGGAGCGAAGGACGACGAATAAAAGGGTTTCGGTTGAGGAAGGGTGGTGGTGGTGATGGTGGTGGAGGAGGCGGAAGAGGAGGAGGAGGAGGAGGAGGAGGAGGAGGAGGAGGAGGAGGAGGAGGAGGAGGAGGAGGAGGAGGAGGAGGAGGAGGAGGAGGAGGAGGAGGAGGAGGAGGAGGAGGAGGAGGAGGAGGAGAATAGTGTGGTGAATCCCTTGGGTGTTGGGACGTCCGTGTCATCTCGAGGCGAACTACCCCCGAGAGGCTGACTCAGGCCAGAAACGAATGCAGTTTCCACCTTCACTTGCTGCTGCTGCTGCTGCTGCTGCTGCTGCTGCTGCTGCTTATTTGCTACCTGTTGTTTGCTACCTCCTGCTATCAGACTCACTTGCTCATCCTGCTTCCCTTCCTGTTCCTCCTTCTGATTCTCCTGCTCCTCTTGCCTCTTCTGCTCCTCCTGTTTCTTCCGCTCCTCCCCCCCCTGCTCCTCCTGTTTCTTCCGCTCCTCCCCCCCCTGCTCCTCCTGTTTCTTCCGCTCCTCCCCCCCCTGCTCCTCCTGCATCTTCTCCTCCTCCCCCACCTTCTGCTGCTGCTCTCCTGCACTAGCATCACCACCAGTAACCACGGCCTGCTCCTGTGCACAGATTGCCCCGACCACCCCACTCCCAGCACCACCACCCACAGACGCAGCCCGCTGGCGCCTACTCTTCTTTGGCTCCTTGATTAGAATGATCTCCCGCCTGCCCCCACCAGCAGCAATCTTCAGAGGACTCCTGGGTGGCATGCCCGGGCAGGGAGCACCTACAGCTGCAGATGGGGAGAGGGAGGGGGATGGGGAAAGAGATGGGGAGACGGATGGGAGAGTGAGAGGGCGGGAGGAAGGGCGGGCGGGAGGGGCAGGGAGCGGCGAAGGAGGAGAGGTGAGGGGAAAGGAACGACTGGAAGAAAGCAGTGCCAAAAAAGGGGAGAGGTGGGGAATGGAGGGACGAAGGTAAGGACGGATGGGTGGACAGATGAGAAAATGGGAGGGAGGGAGAAAGTGAGGGGGAGGAAGAAGGGCAGAGAGAGAAACGGGGTGAGGAAACAGGGAAAGAATGATAGACAAAGGTAAAAACGAGCATAAGGGGGAGGAGGAGGACGAGGAAAAAAGGCAGAAGTGGGTGGGTGGAGGTTAGAGAGCAGTGGGGTCATGAGTGGATGCAGGAAAGGCATGATATGCACACCCTGCAGCGCACACGTGATGGCAGTGGGCCATGGCAGGCAGCGTGGCAGGCCGCAGGAGCAGGAGCAGGAGCAGGAGCAGGAGCAGGAGCAGGAGCAGCCATGCAATGGCGGCAGTGGCCAGTAAAGGGATGCCAAGAAGACAAACGGAGGGGTTTTGATGGGCGTGAGGGAAAGTAAGTTGATCAAGCAATGATACAGAACAACCTGGGGGACACTGGGACCCCTAAAAGCAGTTGCACTGTGCAACGAGATGTGGCAGTGGGGCCAGCAGCAAGGACGGCAGCAAGGGCGGCAGCGGGGGCGGCAGCGGGGGCGGCAGTGGGGATGGCAGCAGGGACAGCAGGGGGGGCGCATTGGCAGCAGAAGGAACTAAGTGGCAATACGCTCGAAAGTTGGACCCATGTCAACACTAATGCTTCCGGCTCCCGTTCACAACAGAGGGAACCAAACCAACCAGTCAAATTAACCAGTCAACTAACCAACCAAAGACGCAAACGGAAATACCTGGAGCTGCGCCTACTTGAGATGTATTTGCAGGTGTCCCAGTCTCCCCTGCAACCCCGCTGCTGCTCTCTGTCCTTCTCCACTCCTCCTTCCCCTCCTCCTTCCCCTCCTCTTTCCCCTCCTCCACCTCTTCCAAAAGGTATTGCTCCTCCTTCGACCCCCACACCAAATTCCCCTCCGACTGGCTCCTAAACCCATGGCTTCGGGAGAATCTCGGCCGAACCGGCACAGCCACCGCCACCCTTCCCCCTCCCCCTCCTTCACCTCCACCCTCCAGCCTCGCATCATCCATCATCTGCTCCGTTATAAGGTTCAGCTCGTCTTCCAGTAGTCGTTTCGCCCGCTCCTTCCTCACCCGGGCCTCCGCCTCAGCTTTGGGCTCAGGCTCGGGCGGCTGGACCAGGTACGCGCCGGGAGCGTCCCGGTAGGGGAAGATGAGCTCAGGGTCTTGCACGGGCGCTCGGTACTGGATCACCATGGCTCGCAACTTACTCTCCAGCCGTGGCACGTTTATGCCTAGCTCCGTTGCTATCGCTGCCGCCGCTGCCAGAGAGCGCACGTCAGCAGACTTACCCTCCCTCCCCCGCGCTGCTCCTGCTGCTCCTGGTCCTGTTCCTGCTCCTCCAGTAACAGCGCGAGAGACAGAAACACTGGTAGGGAACGCACCGGCCGCGCCACCCGAAGCAGAATTGGCCATGCCAGAACCATTAACACCACCGCCACCCCCCGCTCCTCCTCCTCCACCACCGCCAGTTCCTCCGCCTTCCTTCCCCCGAGACCCAGTAAGCAACCCGGCGCCAGCAGAGAGCGAGCGGATGAACACGCTGCTGGCAGAGCGGCGGTGAGACGTGCTGGCCTCTTTGAACGCCTTCAGGACCTTCCTCAGGAGGTTGTACCCGTCTGTGCGCCCAAACTCGCCCCCGCACATCCTCGCTATAAGCACGCCCGTTGTGGTGACGCTGGAGCTGTCTGGTGTGGTGGTGGGGGTGTGAATGGCGTGTTTCGGGGAAGGGTGGGGAGGGATAGAGGAAGCGGAAGTGGAAGGAGGAATGAAACCCCCACCCCAACCCCCACCACCACCACCGCCACCGCCACCCTCAGTAGCCGGCGATCCAGCAAAGCCACCGCGGGACATTGTGAACGGGCGAGGGCTAGTTGGGCCCACCATACTCCACACGCTGCCAGCGCTGCCGGTGCCACCACCACTCTTCTTGCTGCCGCTGCTGCTGCTGTGGCCGCCACCGCCACTCCCACCGCTGCCGTTGGCACCACTGCCGCCGCTGTGGCTGCTACTGTGGCCGCCGCCGCCGCTGCTGCCGCCGCCGCCGGTCGTATGACTCGTATCCACGAGCAGCAGGGCCATGAGCGTGTCGTGCGCGAGAGACACCTTGGAGAGGAACGGCGGCGCGGCGTCCAGCACGTGCTGAGCCACTGCTACGAATTTCACGTCCGTGGTGTAGCGCGCCACGAGAGTGTTATTGCGCGCCACGCCCACGAGAAACACCAGGTCCTCCATCTCCTCCTCCTCCTCCTCGTCCCCGCCGCCGCCGCCTTGCGCCGCCGACTCCCTGCCGCGGATCCCCTTCCCCTTCCCCCTCCCCTTGCCCTTCTCCCATACCATCGTTGCCCCCCCCCGCCGCGAAGTGCCTCCTCGCTCCGCCTATCCGCTCTTCCTCGCCCGCGCGCTTTCCGCCTAAACCGACGCGGGAGGGAATTCCGGAACCGTAACGATAAATACCCCTCGGACGAGAAGGAGAAAGAGAGAGGGATTAAAGAACTAGCAGAACCTTCCAGTCGTCGAAATCGTTTGCTCTAGCACAACGCTTCGCCGTAACGCGCACGGCCTAACGGCTCTCATTTCTTCCTCCTGCTCCCACTGGCCTCTCCTCCTCGTCCCCCTCCCCCGCAGCTACCAACTACCAGACTGCAGACTCTCCAGTTCCCACTAGCATCGACGCCTGACGCCGCGGATTAGAAAACCACTTGCCGGCATGCCGCCGGCATCATACCATGGGCGTCACACGCGCATACCACATGCGGAGGTCACTCGATGCGCCCCAGGCGTGCGTGGATGTTCAATATTGTCCCTGGCAGAAACCAAAGCGAGGGCTTGATGAAGTCGCGGATGCTCTCGAATGCTCTCGGATGCCCGGACAGGCTTTGGATGATGTTGATTGGACGTACCGATATCGGTATCGGTACCGCCGGTAACGATCTCTGACACAAGCAGCTAGCAGCTGCTGCTTTCCTGTTCGCGGAAAGGCGCCGGCCAAGCAGAAGGGCGGCTGATTGAGAGAGGCGATGCGCTCTCCCTGGATTGCCGGCACATGAGTCTGATTTGGTGGTTCCTGCTTTTTCCGATAGTGGAGACTCGATCGCACGGGGTTGTTCCAATTTCTAAAGGAGCAGGTGGAGGGCATACGAGGGCTGTGCGGCTGCAGGTTTAAATTGGCGAGTGGTGGGACACGACTTGCGCATACAAAGTAAAGAGCGCTTGAGAAAGAACAGACTTTCGAAGGGGTCCACTATTCCGCCTTCCAGGCCCTGCTAAAGGAAGCGACCTTTTAACGATAATTAATCAGAGGCTCGCCGGCCGATGGCGTTTACAAAATGGTGGATTGCCTTGAAATGGCCGTGCCCTGACAGTAGATGGCCATGTAATGGCTGATAGCGTTGACCGCGTGCGCCGACCAACAACAACCAAGCCGAGCATCAAGGTGAAGATCCTTGAAATGATACCCGCACCACAAGCTCATGAAAAATCCGCGCTAGGTCTCCACGGCATCCAAACCAGGTTCCCAGGAACTCACATCATCATCCAGTGAATTAGCTGAGTTACAACAGCGTAACAACACTACGCTGTGATTTATGCAGCCTATATGTTTTTTTCAGCCAAAATGTCGTGGAAGAGTATCATAATGCAGAACACCAATAATTCATTAAAGAGACTATTTAATTAGTGGTGATATTATTATGATAACAAATACAAATGAATGAAACATTATGTAGTACGTATAAAGGGGAAATTAACTTTTGCAGCTATACTTGGTGAAATGAATTCAGACATAGTATATTGTTACGAGTGCAATTGAGTGAGCGAACGAGAACTGCACTATCGAAGCAAGAGTACAATGAGCGAAGGCATGAGCGAAGAATATATAGCGAAACTACAGTGGTAACGGTAATGTGTGGAAAATGGGGTGCGCGACGGGCCTGGTGCCGAGGTTGGGAAAGTGTCGAGGCGGAGGTCCGGAGCGCGGGTTACCAACCGAACCGTGAGGTTGGGTCGCGTCGTGAATGGTGGCGGGAATGGTGTCGAAGCGAGTGTCGCGAGTGGTAACGGATTACTGTTGGGTGCTGTGGGTGGGAACAGTGGTGTACGCGCTGAGCAGGGACGCGAAGTAAGGAAAAGGAAATTTCCTTACACTACCCCCCCTCCCCAAGGAGGCCCCTCTTACGAGAGCGCGTGTACATCTCGGAAGTTTCGGCTTCGCAGATACTCGGTGAGGACAGGGTGTTTCTCAATTCTATCCAGGGGGGCCCAGTTGTCTTCGGTGGGTGTGCGGTCCTTCCAACGGATCAGGAATTCGATTCTGCGGGCTCCCCGTGGGTCACGTACTCGATGGCTCAGTATTTTCTCAGGTGTGATGACCGGCTCAGTTGGAGGTCGGGTCATGCTGGCGGGGCGGTTGCGGGGCAGTTGGCTGGTGGATGGCACGTATGGGCGAAGCAGGCTGACGTGGAATGACGGGCTGACGTACCAGTCAGCAGGGAGGAGGAGGTGGGCGGTGACGGGTGTGATCATGTGGCTGATGCGAAATGGCCCGCAATATCGGGGGCGGAGTTTCGGGGTGATGGGCAGGCGGAGGTTTTGGGTGTCGAGTAAAACTAGGTCGTCTGGCTGGTAAGTGACGGGGCGGCGGTGTCGGTCGGCGTTGCGCTTAGCGATGACGTTTGATTTTTTTATTGCTTCTGCTGCTCGGGTCCGTGCTGCTTGTAATATCTCTGCGAACTGTTGTGCGCGTGGGACTGGGTTGTCGGGATTCGGGGTCATGGGTACTGTGGGGTCTTGTCCGTAGTTCAGGTAAAACGGTGACTGTTGGGTCGTGGCGGATGGTGAGTTATTGTATGCGAATTCGATGAGTGGCAGTTGCTGTTCCCACGTGGTCGGGTCGTCGCACGTGGCCCGGATGAGCTGTTCCATGGTCTGATTTGTCCGTTCTGTCTGTCCGTCGGTTTCGGGGTGGTACGATGAACTGAATTGCAGTCGCGTGCCGAACTGCTGCCACAGGTTCCGCCAGAAGTTGCTGGTGAATTTCGTATCTCTGTCGCTGATGATCGATGCTGGTATCCCGTGCAGTCGTACGACGGTGGCGATGAAGAGGCGGGCTGTTTCTTCGGCTGTGATCGATTTCTTGCAGGCTGCGAAGTGTGCCATTTTCGTCAGTCGATCGACGACGACCAGGATCGCGTCATTCCCACTCGTTCCGGCAGGTAACCCCGTGACGAAGTCCATCGTCACCTACTGCCAAGCACGCTCTGGGGGTGGGATCGGCTGCAACTGTCCTGCCGGCCGCTTCCGTGATGACTTCATGATCTGGCAAGTGGGACACGATGCCACGTGTCGTTGAACGTCGGTCAACATTTCGGGCCAGTAATAATACCGCTGCAGCTGCTGCCGTGTTTTCTCTACCCCGAAATGTCCCGAGGTAATTCCGTCGTGTGCCTCCTGTAACAGTAATTCCCGTAGCAGTGTGTACCCCGGTACCCAGATGCGGTCGGTCCCGGCTTTTACGTAATAGACTCCTTTTGCTGCTGCGAACTGCTGCAAATTTCCTCCTGTGAAGAATGGGTCCGTTTGGTATCCGTGGGTAAATAGTCCGGTCAGTAGCGGGCTGGTGTGGGCGAGTAGTATCGCGTGGATCTGGGCAGTGGGTCGGGTCAGTGCGTCGGCGATGTTCGAGGCTCCCTTTTTATAGGTGACCGTGTAATGAAAATTGGACTCGAGGAAATCGAGCCAGCGAATCTGTCGTGGGTTGAGGTGGGGCTGTGCGCGGAGGTACTGTAGTGATCGGTGGTCTGTCCGTACTGTCACGTCTGCGCCGGTCAAGTAACAGCGCCATACTTTGAACGCATGCACGATCGCGAGCATTTCGCGGTCGTGTATCGGGTAGTTTTTTTCGGGCGGATGCAGCTTTCGTGACTCGTATGCGATAGGCTGTAGGCCGTTGCCGAAATCCTGTAGCAGTACGGCTCCAATGGCGATGTCGCTTGCGTCGGTAATAACTTTTCAAAGGGCGGTGTGGGTCAGCGATGCGCAGTACGGGCGGGGAGCAGAGGACGGTTTTCAGGGCAGAGAAGGCAGCATGCTCTTTCTCCCCCCACGTAAAAATGACCCCCTTTCGTAGCAGATCCGTCAGTGGGGCTGTTAATTGTGCCATGTCGGGGACGAACCGACGCACATAATTAACGAACCCTAAAAAACTCTGCAGCTCCGTGATGTTTGTCGGGGGATGCCACGCTTTTATCGTGTCCAACTTCTTCGGGTCGATTTCAACCCCAGCCTCCGAAATAACGTGCCCTAAAAACTCTAGCCTGTCTTGAAATAACTCGCACTTGGAACCCTTGGTCAGTAGTCTGTGCTCGTCTAAAACCTTAAATACTGCTTCCAGATCTGCTAAGTGCTGCTGCTTGTCCCGACTGTAAACCAGGATGTCGTCGAGGTAAACTATCACGAATTTATCTAAGAGCGGCCTAAACGCCTCGTTCATGGTCATCTGAAAAGTCGCCGGTGCGTTGGTCAGTCCGAATGGCATCACCGTGTATTCGAATGATCCGTATCTAGTCCTGAAAGCTGTTTTGGCGCAGTCCGATGGTTCGACCCTAATCTGGTGGTAACCTCCCCGTAAATCTATTTTCGAAAAAACCCGTGCTGTTCGCAGTTGGTCTATCAGTTCGTCGGCGCGGGGAATGGGGTATCGCGATTTGACTGTTACCCGGTTCAGTGCTCTGTAGTCGATGCACATGCGAAACCCTCCATCTTTTTTCGGTGTGAACAGTATCGGTGCGGCAAACGGTGACGAGCTCGGTCGGATGAATTTTTTCTCTAATAGGTAATCTAACTGCTTCCTCAGTTCGTCGAGCTCGGGTTGTGTCAGTCTGAACTGTCGCTGTACGGTTGGCTGTGCCCCCGGTTCTAACTCTATGCGATGGTCGTGTGCCCGCTGAGGCGGCAGTCCCTCCGGTATCGTTTCAACAGTTCCTGCAGTTCGGGCGGTACCGCTGCCAGCAGTTTCTGAAAATCACTCGGCTGCTCTGCTTCTCCTATCAATGCTATATCTACTGCGTACACGTCAGCTCCAGCGGCGACAGCCCGTTTCATCGTGACGGCGTTGACGTGGACCGTTGAAGACTCGGGCGACTGCCAGCGAGGTAGCACGACCCAGTTACCGCTACTTCGCACAGTGCAGCTACCCGTCGTCCAGTCAATTCGCGGGTTATACCGTCGCAGCCAATCACGTCCCAGTAGAATTTCGTGCCCATCCAATGTCGTCGCGAGCATTTCCTGTGTAAACCCAAAGTTCCCCCCGCAGTGGACCTTTACTCTCTCCACCTTCTCCCGTATGGCCAGCGGCGTTCCGTCCACTAAGCGTGCATCTATTTCCGGTAAACACCGACTAAGTGTCAGTTGCAGCTTCCGTGCGGTTGCGGTATTAACTAAGCTGTGGCTTGCTCCTCCGTCTATAAAGATCTTTACTGCTGCTCCCTGTATTTTCCCGTAAATCAGTACTGGGCAATCCGTCGCTGTACCCTCCTTATTCATCCGAGCCCGATCGATAGCGTGAATCGGTACTGTGACTCGGTGAGGGTCGGTGCGGTTGGGTGAGCATGCAGTCTCGTCAGTAGTTGGCCCAACTTCTACTGACTGCTGGCGTTTCCTTGCCTCTGAGACTCCCTCCCCTGCTCTGCTCCGCGGCGTCTCAGCTCCTCTGGGCATTCGCTCTTGCGATGGCCCGGCCTGTTGCAAGCAAAGCAGCACCCCTTAAACGGCGCAGCAGCTGCATTTGTCGCAACGGCGTGTACAGTGGCGTGCTCGGTCGGTCCCCGAGGACGATGTCCGTAGTAGGACCCCGGTCTCGGTCGGCGTAGAATGTCGATTTTCTCGGCGAGCGCGAGAATCTCGTTGAAGTTCGAGAGTCCGCGCAGCATGATCTCGTGCGAGATATCCGGCTTCAGCCCTCCAACGTAACGGTCCACCCGCTCCGCTTCGTGCATGTAGCCGACTTGCTCGCAAAGTGCGAGAAAACCGCTCGTGTAATCTTGAACCGACCCGAGCTGCCGCCAAGTGCGCAACCTCTGACGCGCCGAAATAGAAGCCGCGATTGGCTCGAAGCGCGCCCGAAGCCCTGCGCACCACGCATCCCACGTGCTGTATTGGGCGGTCTCGCAAAAAGAACTCCAGGTGACAGCTGGACCCGTGGGCCCTTCCTCTTGCGACGGTGGCTCGTAGGCGCGTGGCGACGTCACGATGACTCGCCACCAGTCCATGGCGGGGCCCCTTAGCAGCGAAACGGCATACCGAATCTTCGCTGCGTCCGACTCGACGTAATTCGCGTCGAAGAAGACGTTCATCGTGAAGACCCACGATTGAACCGTCGGACCTCCACGCTGGCTCGGGTCGAAGCAGGGCGGGCGTTGCGGCTTGAGTGGCATTGGTGCCATAATGGCCTGTCCGCCATTTGTCGCTGCAAACTCCACGTGCCGACGGGCTTCGCGAGGCTCCCGCGGGCTTGGCGCAACCCTGTTTCCTCCCATGCCAGGCATTGGTTGGGCGGCGCTATCACTGGCTGCACCTGAGCGCTGTCCCACGCTGTCGTGCTGTGTTGGTGTACCGGACGAGATGATGATTGGCTCGTCCGATTGTGCAGGTGCATTTGTTGGTGCGTGTGGTGCTGTTGGAGTGTTCACCGAAGACTGCTGACGCGCGGAGTCACGTTTCGCCGTGAGCGTCGCTATTTCGAGTGCCGAATCTTCAACTTGGCGCACCAGACGGTCGAGCTGCTCCTGCGTCAAGGTCGCGAGATTGAATTCGGCCATGGTGGGGGTGTCGGGCAAGCTCAGCGAGAGCCTCGGTCGTGGCCGTGCGTGCTTACGAGAGAGCACTACAAGCGGCGGTGCTGTGTCGCTGAGAGACGTCTACCCCCCCCCCAAAATTGAGATAGTGGGGAAGCGAAGGTGTGGGTGCGGTCCGAGAAGAGATCGTAGGCTCTGAATACCAAGTGTTACGAGTGCAATTGAGTGAGCGAACGAGAACTGCACTATCGAAGCAAGAGTACAATGAGCGAAGGCATGAGCGAAGAATATATAGCGAAACTACAGTGGTAACGGTAATGTGTGGAAAATGGGGTGCGCGACGGGCCTGGTGCCGAGGTTGGGAAAGTGTCGAGGCGGAGGTCCGGAGCGCGGGTTACCAACCGAACCGTGAGGTTGGGTCGCGTCGTGAATGGTGGCGGGAATGGTGTCGAAGCGAGTGTCGCGAGTGGTAACGGATTACTGTTGGGTGCTGTGGGTGGGAACAGTGGTGTACGCGCTGAGCAGGGACGCGAAGTAAGGAAAAGGAAATTTCCTTACATATATACAGCCATGACTCTGCATAACATGTCAGCTCTGGGGATGTCACTTCTGACCAGTCAAAGGAGATTTTCAAAATGCAGTTTCCTCTCAGGTCCAGAAACCTTCCCTGCGACGCAGGAAATATGTTTTCCCCGTCTGCGCCGTCCATTTCCGCCGAGTCGGTCGCAGACACTCTATTCGAGTAAATCGTGCCCGTCCATACTGTTTTCCCGCCACATGGCTGTCGCCTGTGGGCGTTCAACCAGCACGCTCGGATGAAATGCGACGCGACCGTTCGATGTAACGCCTGGTTGGACGAAATGTCAGTTCCCTCGTCGCCTCCGCCGCCACTTCGCCGACCTCAGTGGTCAGCAGAAATTTCCGCAACGCCCAAGGTTGTGAAATACCTTCGCTAGCACAAGACAAACCGAAGCGAGTCGGGCTAGTAACAAGCTGTAACGAATTCCACTGTGATGCCTTCCTGATCGGACTGAACGGAACCGAGCCCGACAGTTCCGCCCTTTCCTCCCACATAGGTATATCCACGGAGCTTTCTCTACAGAACTTGCATCTTGATACTGCCTTGCAACTTAGCTTAGCCCTAGAAACGCGTTCCATCCTGAAGCGATCATCGTCATCTGCCATTATGGCACGGCTCATCCGCGCAAATTCTACGCTTTCTACCCTCCTCGTTCTCTTCGCAATTGTCGTAGGCCTTCCTTCCGCATTTGCGAAGGTCGATCTCTATACCGTGTGCGGTCGGCAGGAGGCAAAGGACGGCACAGTGTCGTTCAAAGTAGTCACGTACAACACGCTGCTCCCCATCAGCCAGCCAGTCTCGCCGCTCGACGCGGTCATCCCTCCCAAGGGCGGCTTCGTTAGCGTCACGGGCGACTGCACATACGCCGTCGACTCAGCATGCAACATTGTCAAGAAACGTACGTGGAGGTGTTACATGTACGCCTCATGATGTCATAGTAGAACGCGTTAATTTTCCGGGATGCAAGAGCTAAACCTCTAGCAGACGGGAAACTGCATCAGGCGTGATTTCTCCGCGAGCAAGCACTGCTGCACGCATGCGATGTTCCTGCCTGTTTTGCCTCTGCATACTCCCAACGTCCAGCGCTGTGTCCTTTCGAGCACCATGCTCCATTTTCAAGTTTTCGTACTTTCCCCTCTTGGCTCGTTTCCTCGCAGTGCCGCAATGCAAGGGCAACACTCGCTGCGTCTACTCCAAGACTCCATTCCGTCTGGCTCTAAAAACGCCTTGCTCCTCACCCAAGTGCCGCGTCTGGGCATCTGAGTTCTCTGGTCGCTGCCTCAGCAAAGGGGGTAGTAAGGTGTAGGCAGACACGCAATGTTGGGGGAGTTTTGATCATTACACCCTCAATGGCACATATGGCCATCAGAAGGCAGATGATGGCAGGAAGGGAACGAATGTAGCATGTGAAGAACGTGCTGTACAGGGTTTGTGCTTAGCTAACTCATACCGTAATCTCCCGGATAGTAGACCCTAGGGTCTTATGTAAAATTCATAAAAAAAATAGGGGGGGGTCTTGTCAACGGCACAAGATTGTATAGTACCCGGGTCTTATTAAATTGATATAATTTTAAAGGTGTAATCGAATGCCTCATTGATGAGGATGCTTGACATTGTTTTTTCACTGTTGTTTGGGCCGCACATGTGCGGCTTCTGCGATGTAGCCACATCACACAGGGGAATCAGTTTGTGGCCTTCTCATTGGCCGAAATCGCACGTTACCACATTCCATCATTAAGATTCGTTTTGTGGCTCGTCAGCGTGCCATCCCACTTCGACACCCTGACACATGCACGGCTCGAGCGCAGGGGCTGCACGGTGGCCCCAGCAGGAACCCCTATTGTTCAACGGGAGGCACGTCAATCCTTTCACCCATCACAATCCTTCTCTTCCGCCTGTTTCTTAATCCACGCACGAAACTGATTTCAGCTCGGCAGAGTGGTGCGCTTAGGGGCCGTAGCTCTAGGATGGTCGTCTTAACATGGCTGGAGGAGGTACTTAGAGCAGTAGCTAGAGGTGTAAGCTATCGTTCACGATGGTGACGTCTCCAGATTCAGGGATGTCGCACGCAAGGCGCCCTCGTCCCACTAACGCTAATCGAGCATCGCAAGCACGAGTTTCACCCCGTCCAGTGTTGCCAACAACTTCACCTTCCTCGAGTGATCCTAGCGACAGTTCCCATGGCATTCGCCGACCGCCACTTCTTAGAGTCGTGATCCCTACTTTTCCGGAGTCTAGTCGCCCGCAAGGCATGAAACGAAGAATTCTAGATGCTGCACCTCCTTCCCCTCGTCATAGGATGACGAAACGCTCTCGTAACGCGTTCACCGCCAAGGAGAAACTGCACTGGCTGGCCATGTTGGAGTCACAGCCTGACCTCAGCATCCGTGGCTTGGCAAAGCTCGCCAAGGTGCAGCCCAAGCAAATCCGCGAGTGGAGGCGACTCAAGGAGCGTCTCGAGGTCGCCGCTGGTTGTCGCCGACGTCTTAACGGTGGAGGGCGTAGGGCGAAGTGGCCCCTGATGGAGAAAGCAGTTTACCGCCAATTCTTGGCGCACCGTGCCAAAGGATTGGCGGTGTCGGTGAGCCTTCTCCGCAAATGGGCATCTCAGTACATGAAGCACCGTCAGCCTACCGCCGATTTTCGCGCATCGGCACGTTGGACCTTTCGCTACCGCGTGCGGTGGTCGTTGGCGCAACGCGTGAAGACAAAGATGGGGCAAAAACTAGCCGCCGGTGAGCAAGCTGCCTGTCACCCCCCCTTGCACTAACGGTCTAGGTAAAATGCTATCTAACGCATGTGTCGTTGTGTGTTTAACAGACTGCAAGGGAAAGGTGGAGTCCTTCTGGGAATTCGTCCGCCAGATGCGCATGGTTCATCGCTTTCCCCTCAACCTCATCGTGAACGCTGACCAGACCCCGCTCTGGTTGGAGATGCCGGCGGAACGCACCCTTGAAATGAAAGGCGCCCGCACGGTGCATGTCAGGACGGCGGGTACGAGAAGGAGCGTGTCACTGTCATGTTGGCAGTGACGGCTGACGGCCTGAAGCTTCCCCCGTATGTCATCTTCAAGCGGAAGACGGTGCCACGAATCGTGGTGCCACCAGGTGAGCCCGATGTGTTTCCGTCGTTGATTCCTTATGTTCCTCGTTTCTCCGTTACTGATTTCCAGTTGTGGCGTGTGCAGGAATCGTCATCCGCGCCCAAGAGAAGGGCTGGATGGACGAGCGCCTTGTCCAGGATTGGACAACACAGGTGCTCGTCCCCTTCTTGAAGCCGTTGCGGGACGAGGGCGGACGGCGCAAGCAAGCGCTCCTTGTCTTCGACTCGTACAAGGGGCACCTGACGGAATCCGTGGGGCAAACTCTGAAGATGTTTAAGGTGACGCGTGCCGTCATCCCTGGCGGTTGCACCCCCCTGGTGCAACCGCTTGATGTCTCCATCAACCGCAGTTTCAAGTGCGGTGTTCGCCACCGCTACAGCACGTGGTTTGAGGAGGTCGGGATCAGCCAAACGACACGTGCAGGTGAGTCGTGGTCGACTTGTGGGCTTTAAGATGACTAGGCAGCATTAAATCCACTGCCTTTACATCTCTGCCGTTCATCCTTCTTGTGAACTCCAGGGAACTTGAAGAAGCCCCCCCCTGAAGTGATCCTGAAGTGGATCGTCGAGTCATGGGCTGATGTGCCAGAGGAGCTGGTGAAGAAAGCATTCCTCACCTGCGGCATCTCCAGTGCCAAAGACGGGAGCGAGGATCATCTGATCCTCGCTCACCTGCGGGACAAGGCGGAAGTGGAGGTGCTGGAGGATGTGCTGGACGAGGGGGAGGACGGGGTGAACCCCAACCCGTTCTACGAAGACCCCTCGCACGCCCCTGAGCCCGCCGCCACCAAGGACGACGAGGCAGAGGACGAGGAGGAAGGGCTTGCAGGGGAGGAGGCTGTGGTGGGTGCTGCTGCCGAGGAAGGGGATGTGATGGCTCCGGATGAGGAGGGGGATGAGGCAGATGCAGAGATGGGAGGTGCGGACGAGTGGAGTGAGGATGGAGACGACTGGTGGGCAGCAGGCCTCTATGAGGGAGAGGAAGTGGAGGAGTGGGTTGCAGGCGAGGATGAGTGACTGTTTTTATGTTGTTCTCACCCCTTGTTGCCCCCTAAATCTCTGAAATGCAAACTGTGAATAGGTTGCATTGGTGTCAAACTTGTCTTGCTAGTGAAGCACTTGAAAAGACATCTTATTTCCATTATAAACTAGTGACAACCATAAGGGGGGGGGTCTAGTAATGATTACCCCTCTAAGGGGGGGTATAGTGAAAACCTGCCAAAATAAAAGACCCACCCCCGTAATACAGACTCGGGGGTCTTGTATTCCGGGGGGTCTACTATCCGGGAGCTTACGGTACACGTTGATTTCTAGCAAACTGAATCAAACTATACAATAAATACACAATGTGTTAAACTTCAGAACACCTGCTACTCATGCTGATGAATCCACAACCTGAACGAGAGATTTCCCTGAATAGCCTCCTAGAGCACTCTCATGGTAGAAAGCTGCATGCCATTCAACAGCGCCAGCACAGCAGCATTCATTTACTGAACCAACGATATGCCATTCTCAAAAGCAGTTACTGGTGTGCTGCTCTCAGAAGAATCGCCCCTCATGTTCCAATAGACTATCTGTGGCACAGGGTAACCCACCTTGGTGTACTTGCGCACAATCGTTTGGCGGTCCGTCTCCCAGCTGCTCTCTTGGACTCTCAGCTTCGCATCAGGTGATGCAATTTCCAGGAAGAACTTACGGGCCTCGCGTGCACGGTCAAAATGCTGTCAGAAAACACAAACAGCCGCTGCACCAAGTCTCCCGGGTATAACTGGAACTGCTGCGCACGGGACAGCAGCAGGTCAAACACAGCCTGGAAATCGGTATTGTTGCCTCAGCCCATAGCTTGCGTGCTTCTAACGCGCTACACCAGCGTCTCTCCCTGCACCTGGTGAAATCTGGGTTGGTCGGAGAAGGTTATAAGGTGGTTCTTCCATGGTTCACTGCTCACCTTGCTCATGAGCAGCGACAGTGCAATGGCCACCTCCATGGGTGTGCTCGACATGCTCCCCGACACATCGCACACCGCCATGCTGTTCCCCAGTTGTTTCTCACATCAGCCATCATGGCCTTCCACTGGAGCTCGCCCACGCTATCATTGATGTCCTCCGCTGCTTCAATGGCTGCCTTCACCACTTCGTGCGGCAGCAGCGCCCCAGCAGTGATCTTGGCCGTGCCGGCCTTCACGTCCTCCAGGTACTTCTCAAAGCGCGCCTCATCGTAGGCGAAAAGGAGATTGCGGATGTTCTTCATGCACACGAACGGCACACACCTGTACGCCACGTGCTCCCACTGCCTGCTGCTCATGTGCACAATAGGCACCTCCAGCACTCTCCGCAGCGTCGCCGACACCTCACGTTGCAGCCACGTCACGAGGAGGAGGAGGAGAAGTAGATGAGAGATGCAACAGAAGTTAGAGGAAGGAGGGGGCGGCTGCCTTGCCATACCCGCCACCCCCACACCCTCCTCCTCCCCCCCCCCCCCCCCCTTCCAACGCGGCATGCCCAACAGTTGCTGTTGTAGCGATGAGGAGGAGGATAAGGGATGGGCGGGGGGTTCAAGAGGACTTGGCTGCACCCCCCTCCCCAAGCGTCCGCCGTTGCAGGGCGCGGCAGAAAAGAGGGCGGGGAGCGGGATGGCGCTGTCTAGGGCGCCAACGACGGTTGGCCCCTTCCCCACTTCCTCCCCCTTATAGTGACCGCCCTCGCGTGCGTATAGGGTCGGGACGGGTGGGGAAGCACAGGGGGGGCGCACGGGGGGGCGCATGGGGGGGCGGCGAAGGCGCAGCAGTGGGGAGATGCGGGGACGAAGGGGCGGGGCGATGGGGTAGGACGAGGCACGTGACGGGGCAGTCGAGACGAACGATGATCGCGCAGCTGCTGCAGCACTCGCGCTGCATTTCGCGATCGTCGCGCTGCTCGTCGCTTTGCAGGCGGCCAGCAGATGCAGACGAGTGTGAGGGAAAGCCCCCATGGCATCAAATTGAACGAGCGACCGAGGGCTGAAACACGGGCTCTGATACCATGTTAGAATCTAAAGTAACTTTTGTCGTAATACTAGGCAAGAATCAGAAACAGAAAAGGAGGGTTTTCACTAGCAGCAGTTGAGATACATATAGGAAACCCTAATTGGGTTGTACTCGCTATAGAGTACCCCACTGCAGGCTAGACAAACATCACATTCTGACAACTTTGGAACTATGGTTGAGAGTAGGAATGCAAGTAGCGAGAGGGACGTGAGAGACATAAGATATGAAGCAAGGTAAGGTGACAAAGGGGGGTACACCACCAGCGGATAGAAACCTAAGGTGATACTACACTAACTGTTATGCATGCAGCTATACATAAGAATATAATTATGACACGCGTCCCAGCTGCGTTGGCATGCCACCGACTTGCGGTGCTGGCAAGCCGCCCTAGTGTTGCGCTGGAGGTCGACTTGCCTGTGCTAGGCTGCTAGTGTGTCTCTGATGTAGTCATATTTGCCTAACCATCGTGTACCATTGTTATCAACTTTTCTTATTGAACCTCTTGCCGCTTCCCCCCATAAACAGGCAAGTAGAGGCAATACAAGCAATGCATCGATCACCCGTACAACCCCGTAGCCTCATACGTAGTCCAGCTACCACCGTTATAGAGTGAATATCCGCATGTACTTCGTATAAGTACCAACACCGTCATTGTGTTTTGGCTATTATGCGATTTAGCAACGTAATGTTTAATCAGATCAACCTTTTACCGGATGAAGCCGAGGTCCATAAAAAATAAAATCTAGCAAGGTAATAAATAATATGTATCGTTATGTGAAAAAGGCTCAAGACGTAGAAATTTCTGACTTTCAGAGCCTGCATAGGAATTTACTCAGTTTGTTTCTGGTCATATAGGTCTGGCCCTTCAAAAGTAATAATCCTTTGCTGCCACTTGGGGATCCAAAGGCTGTACAAACTTTGGATGGTAAGGTACCGAGGAATCAGTGTTTTACCTGTCCAGTTTCGATGAACACAGCTCACGCCACTACATTGAACAGCACTGCGCGGAACCAACCAATAACAGCATCACAGCACAGCACAGCGCACACTCCCTCCCCTAAAAAAACTCACGGGGTCTCCTTCCACTCCATCATCATTAAGTGTAGAAAACCCAGACGCACCATCTTTAACCGCTCAAATTACCGCATTACTCATCTGCATCTGTAACCCAGTTGAACCAGCAATTCCAGGTTCTCCCTTCGTTCCCCTCGGCTCACCTCACACACAGCTCCATGAATGCTGCTGCCATGGAGTGGAGACACTGGAGTGGTCAGGTCACCCGTATTTTCTACAAACATTAAAGCCTTGATGCCCGAACGAAACGACAGTCAACATTCGAGTACTGTGGCCGATGAAACTACAAACTGGGTTGTGTAAAGCTGGGTGACAGCACTGGTAATGGCTTTGCAATGAGCAACATTAGCGAACAACGGGGCGCCTCGGGGCCCACGTTCTCGTCAGAAACGGCGACAGCACTGCCTTTGACAGCCACAGTCGTTGCTAAGACAACAGCGATACCAGCGAGTACTACTACTAGTAGATCGTCATCCCAAAATGGACCGAGATCTTTTTTGTCACCCTCCTCTTTCTCAACCTTCTCCTCCTCTTCCTTCTCCTCATCGTCATCGTCGTCGTTGCCGGTGCGACGTCAGCAGAAATCGCTATTCCGCCTTCTCTTTCTTTCCGCGGTCCTCCTTTGGGCCACGACGAATCACTCTGCCGCCGCGGCTTCGGGATTGCCAATGGAAGGGGAGCACGTGTCCACCAGCAGCTCGCCGGTCATTGCAACGACACTATTAACACTAATGCCGCCTTTAAGAGGAGGCGGAACGTCCAGCAGCAGCAGCAGCAGGAGCAGGATTAGCAGCGAAGGCAGCATCAGCAGTAGCAACAGCAGCAGAAAAGTTGTCTCTGAAGGAGTCTATGCCCGACAGAAGCCAGAGGCGAACGCGCATGAAATCCCTGTTGAGGAGGCCGAATTTAACGAGCACGCACCAAAAGTGCACGCCAGGGTCTCGAGTAGAGAGGCGGGTGACAATATCGAAGGCGACGACCGCAAGACGAGCAACGTCCAGGGAGGAGGCTTCGGAAAAGGGATGCTAGACGGAGAGGCAGGAGTAGTGCCTGTGACGGCCAGCCGGGACATTAGAGAGCTTTCGAGGGAGTTCGCAAACGCGCATCCAAGTGATCCGAGCGATCTGAGCGATCCGAGCGATCCGATCAATCCGAGCTATCCGAGCAAGCAATTAAGCGAACAAGTGGACAATCCTAGCTCAAGCGCAGTGGACTCCAACTCCTCATCCTGCTTCTCCATGCCGCTGTCGCATTTGGCTGCAGCGGCAGGAAAAGAATGGCCTGTGAGTTCCGCTCCGCAGCACATCACGGCCACTGCAATTCGCTCGCCAAGTCACATCACACGTTTCGGTCGACCTTGCTCTCTCTGCCGGCCGGACATTTCGAATGCTCGTGAATGCAGTCTGTTACCTTTGCTCCTGGCCTTTCTCTCATCCCGGCCTGCTTACTTGATTGACTTTTTCTCAATATCTTACCTCGATGATTTATGAATGAATAACCTCCTCATGGCCCAATGCCCTACTTGCGTCATCTGCCCAGTACTTCCCCCCTCCATTTCCCTCTCCCTTCCTGCCCCCTCTCCCTCCCTCTCTCCCCCCACCACCCAGCCATTCTCCCCCTCGTTTCATCTGCTGGCAGCGTGCGTGCTGGCGCTGCTGGCAGCAGCAGTGGCCAACGCAGGGGGCGTGGGGGGCGGCGGTCTCTTTGTGCCGCTTTTCAACCTTCTCCTCGGATACGACGCCAAGTCCGCCACTGCCCTCTCCAAAGGTACCATGCTCTAAAAGTGACGGCGGGCTTTTCTCTTTGTGCCACACTTTTAACCTAACCTGCTGTTAGGATACGACGCAAGCAAAGTCCGCCGCAGCCCTCTCTAAAAGTACTACGACTATCACCACCGTCCCCTCTCGCTCAAACCCCCCCACCCCTCCCTATACCCCTGATCCCGCTGACCCCTCCTCTCTTCCACCCTCCGGCTCCACTTTCCCTCGCCCTCCCTCCCCTCCCCCTCCCGAACCCCGCGCAATCCCCTCCCTGCTTGTTCGCTCTTTTTTCTGACCTCCTCTCTCTCCTCCATACTTGCTGTATCTTCTCCCTCCCTGCCCAAATCCCTCCCCAGAAAACCACGTCCCGCACCCAACTCACTCTCGTACAGCCCCTTTCCCTTATCCCCGTCTTCTCCCACTCCCCGCCTCCTCTCAATACCCTCTCAATGCCCGTGTCCGCCCACTACCCATCTCCTCCCACTACCCATCTCCGCCCACTACCCATCTCCGCCCACTACCCATCTCCGCCCACTACCCATCTCCGCCCACTACCCATCTCCGCCCACTACCCATCTCCGCCCACTACCCATCTCCGCCCACTACCCATCTCCGCCCACTACCCATCTCCGCCCACTACCCATCTCCGCCCACTACCCATCTCCGCCCCCCATCTCACTACCCATCTCCGCCCACTACCCATCTCCGCCCACTACCCATCTCCGCCCACTACCCATCTCCGCCCACTACCCATCTCCGCCCACTACCCATCTCCGCCCACTACCCATCTCCGCCCACTACCCATCTCCGCCCACTACCCATTTCCGCCCACTACCCATTTCCGCCCACTACCCATTGTCAGAATATTATGCTTGTCTAGTCTGTAGTGGGGTACTCAATAGTGAGTATAACCCTTTTGGGCTTGCTATTTGTATCCCTCTCCTTTCTAGTCCAAACCCTTTTTGCCTATTCTCTCTTGCCTAGCTTGCTAAACCCTAGCTATGGCTCCTGCGTTCTGCCTGCTATTCTAACATGTTATCAGAGGGGTTACGCTCCTGGCCTGTGGGCCCGCATGCTTCCGCTGCCATACTATCTGTCGCGCGCCCCGTGGCGCGCGACGTTCCTTTTTTCTTCCCGCCACGCGCTCGGGACGCGTGGCGGTTTTCTGCCCGCCACGGGCTCGGGGCGCGTGGCGGTTTTCTGCCCGCCGTGCGCCCCGAGGCGCGCGGCGGTTTACTGCCTCACGCGGCGCCCCGGGGGCCCACGCGCTGCCCTGCCCGTCGCCCGTCGCGGCGCCCTGGGGGGCCGCGCGTCGCCCTGCCCGTCGCCCGTCGCGGCGCCCTGGGGGCCAGCGCGTCGCCCCCCCCCTCCCGTCGCCCGTCGCGGCGCCCTGGGGAGCCGCGCGTCGCCCCTCCCGTCGCCCGTCGTGGCGCCCTGGGGGGCCGCGCGTCGCCCCTCCTGTCGCCCGTCGCGGCGCCCTGGGGGCCCGCGCGTCGCCCCCTCCCGTCGCTCGTCGAGGCGCCCTGGGGGCCCGCGCGCCGCCCCGCTTCCGCTCACACGCCGCCCCAGCTGCTGCCCGCGTTTCTGCCCTGCGTTGGAGGGTATGGGGGTGGCGTGTATGGGGGTGGCGGGTGTGTGAGCCGTCCCCTGCTCCTCCTCCTCCTTCGTCTCCCACTGCTGCAGCTGCCGCTGAGGGGGGTGGGTGTGTGGGAGCCGAGGGAGTGGTGCTAGGGGGGTGACGTGGGAGTGGAGCTAGGGGTGCAGCAAGGGGTGTGTGAAAAGGGGGTGGGACAGTTGGGGGAGGTTGAGCGGAGGTTGAGCCGTCGTGTCGCCAGCAGCGCCAGTAGTCCGGAGGCTACAATCTCCGGTAGCCCAGCGAGCCTGCTGCGACAGTCGCCCGTGGGTCAGTTGCTCCAGCCGCTCGGCGTAGCCGCGGAGCCAGTTACTCCTGTAGTCCGGAGGCTACAATCTCCGGTAGCCACTGAGCCAGCCGCTCCTGTTGCCCGTGTGTCTGCAGCTTCAGCCGTCGCCTCCCATCTCCTCTCCTCTCACATTCCCTCCTCCTCTTCACTTGCCCTCTGTGAATGCCTCTAGCTTTGCTTGTACTTGTGAACCTGCTCTATGACTGCTTGCTGTGCTGATTATACCCCACTTTGACTATGGGGGTGTGTCAGAATATTATGCTTGTCTAGTCTGTAGTGGGGTACTCAATAGTGAGTATAACCCTTTTGGGCTTGCTATTTGTATTCCTCTCCTTTCTAGTCCAAACCCTGTTTTGCCTATTCTCTCTTGCCTAGTTTGCTAAACCCTAGCTATGGCTCCTGCGTTCTGCCTGCTATTCTAACACCCATTTCCGCCCACTACCCATTTCCGCCCACTACCCATTTCCGCCCACTATCCGCCTGGCAGCCATGATCATGGGCGGAGCAATCGCAAGTGCGTGCTTCAACCTGCCCTTGCAGCATCCCTTCCATCCCCACCTCCCCCTCATTGACTTCCGTGAGTGCGCTCCTCTTCTCTCCCCTCTCCTTTGCGTTATCCTCCTCCCACTCCGCTCTCTTTCTCCCTGCCCCTCCCACTCCCACTCCCACTCCCACTCCCACTCCCACTCCCACTCCCACTCCCCTTCTCTCTCGTTCTCTCATGCGAATAAACACACATGCAAACATCTACTCGCGCTCCTTCACTCTCCTTTGTTTCTCGTCAGTCAGTCCTACCTACAGATGCACACACACCCTCACGGATCCAATCCCTCCCCTCCCCTCCATCCTCACTCCTCCCTCTTCCCTCCCTCTCTCCCTCCCTCCCTCCCTCCCTCCCTCCCTCCCTCCCTCCCTCCCTCCCTCCCTCCCTCCCTCCCTCCCTCCCTCCCTCCCTCCTCCCTTCTCCCTCCTCCCTCCTTGGCCATCCCTCCTCCTTCGTCCACCCTCTTCTCCCTGCCGCCTGTGACCACCAGGGGTGGCGCGGCTGATGCAGCCCATGCTGCTGCTGGGCATCAGCATAGGCATCTCGTGCAACGTCGTCTTCCCACCATGGCTCCTCACTGCTCTCCTCACTCTCCTCCTATCGTGTATGTCCACTCCACTCCACTTTGCTAAGCAGAACCTCCTTTGGTTTGGCTCTCGTTTCCCTGAAACAGCAGACCCGCTTCACGCTCACACCACGCCCACTTTCCCCTGCAAAGGTCCCTCCCCGGCCCTGTTGGTTCTTCTACTGCACCCGAAACACCCGCCAAATTCCAGAAGACCCACTGAACTGAATGACGAAATAGCTACTGGGAGGAACCTGCAGTTCAGCACTTGAAACAGATTGGAGTCACCTTTGAAATTTCCAAGAGTAGCACCTTTGGAAAAAAAACTCCAAATGTTTTACGCTCACTGGGGGTGTACCTGCAGTTCCATCCAGCACTAGAAACATACACCTCACACGGCCCGCACTGTAAAGAAAACTCTGTGTCCCCCTCCCGTGTGCCACACAGGCATGGCAGGGAAGGCGGCGCAGAGGGCAGTGGAAATGATGGTGGCAGAGGCGCATTTGGCAGCAGTGTGCCTGCATGACTCACGTGGCACGCACTGCGCCGCCACGCCCCTCTCTCTCACCATTCCCTGGCTGGTGCGCTCTGCCTGTAGGTTCCTCTCCGTCTGCTGCTGTGCTGTGCTGCGCTGTGCATACATGCATGCATGTGCTGAGATAGATCTGGGACGCACACATGCCTGCCCCCTCACCCGCATGCCCGTCCGCCTGCCCCCACTCACCCGCCCAAATTTCCCACCCCGCCTCCCCTCCTCCTCCCCTCGCCTGCCTGCATGCCCGTCCGCCTGCCCACTCACCCGCACAAATTTCCCACCCCGCCTCCCCTCCTCCTCCCCTCGCCTGCCTGCCTGCCTGCCCGCCTGCCACGTACGCTGACACGTTTCCTGTTGGTTTATCGAGGTTCTCTATCCTGTCATGCCATCCCTGCTGTTCCCGTGTGCAGCTGGAGGCCCCATCCTCTATGGCCCATCATCCTGGCCTGTCATCATCATCATCAGGTGCACTGATAGCAACGCACATGCATCATCATCAACAAACCCTGCCCACTCGTGCCAAAGGTGACTCTTGTGAATCAGCCGAAAGTGAACCAAGTTCCAACCACCTGACTCATTTCCATTCCCATGAAAGCGTATCACACCATGCTCCATTTGAGATTTCTGTTCAGTTATATAATTCTATATAATTATATATATAATATACATATATATATGTAAGTGTGTGTGTGTGTAAGAATGCCAACATAGCACAGCATGCGCGCCTATTCATAAGAATCTCCAGAAGCAACAGCGCCACACCATGCTCAGGTCACTGCCAATGGCACCCACTCCTCCTCACCTCCCACACAACAATCGCTTTCAAGTAGTAGGCCCAACCTCTTCTTATTCATCTCTTACTCTCGCTTCCTCTCCCCTCCTCCCCCTCCCTCCCTCCTCTTCTCCCCAACGCCCCCTGTTCTTCCAGCCGCACAGTCGTTCTGGTGGCCTGTGCTGGTAAGAGCAGCACGCGCATCTCGGCACCTTGGAGTCAGCACCAAGGCACCGGAGGAGGAGGAGGAGAGCCACGAACCTCTGCTCTCAGCATCTCCAGCACTCGAAGCAGTGCCATCAGCGCAGTCAGCACCGTCAGTACCACCACCAGCGCTACCAGTGTCACCAGCACTGCAACAGCCACCTGGGCAAGGGTCGGCAGCAGCAGCAACAGCAGAAGCAGCAGCAGCAGCAGGAGCAGCAGCAGCAGCAGCAGCAGCAGCAGCAGCAGCAGCAGCAGCAGCAGCAGCAGCAGCAGCAGCAGCAGCAGCAGCAGCAGCAGCAGCAGCAGCAGCAGCAGCAGCAGCAGCAGCAGCAGCAGCAGCAGCAGCAGCAGCAGCAGCAGCAGCAGCAGCAGCAGCAGCAGCAGCAGCAGCAGCAGCAGCAGCAGCAGCAGCAGCAGCAGCAGCAGCAGCAGCAGCAGCAGCAGCAGCAGCAGCAGCAGCAGCAGCAGCAGCAGCAGCAGCAGCAGCAGCAGCAGCAGCAGGACCAGCAATACAAGCACTTGGAGCAGCATCCAACGCAGCACAGTCAGGCCAGCTGCATGCCGGGTCAGCAGCCACAGCCGGTGCTAGCGATGGCAGCTGTGGCAGCGGTGGTAGTGGTGGCAGTAGTGGCAGCAGGGGATGGTGGGAGCAGACGAAGCGTGCATCAGGAGGGCATGCTGTGCCTCTAGAGTCGCCTGTCAGCGATGCCTGCTGCTGCTCTGGACTAGACCAACCCGGTGGTTGCTGTTGTGTGCATGCAGGCACATGCTGCTGCCATGCTGCATGTGAGGAGGGGTACGCAGGGAGTGCTGATTATGGAGGTGGTGGGGGTTCTGGCAAGGGCAAGCGCCACCGCACGTGGATTGCTGTGGTGAGTCCTCACGGGTGTGGTTTGTAAACCCTTTCACTGCTCCGGTTGGTTGTCGCTGCGCTCCATTGTGTCACCTCTTTTCTTGCTCCCTCCGTCCTAACCTCTTCAATCCCATCCTGCTCCACCGTCTCATTTCTTCTCCATAGTGTTTGTGCTTTCCCTTCACTCTCCCCTTGCCCTCTCTCCTCTCCTCCCTCCCCACTCTAGCAGAATCTTCTGGAACCTCTGGCCTCTCTCTTTGCCTGCGGTGCCACATCGGCGCGCCTCTCACCCTGTGACGTGGAGTGTGTGTGGGAGATGGCAGCAGTGTGGGCTGCCTTTGTGGCGCTGCAGGTGGCCAAGACACGCGCCCTTGCATGCTCTGTCACGTACTGGCTGCTAGACCTGCTTCAGGTGAGCGTGTGCACGTGTGTTTGCTTGTGAATGCATGCATGTGTGTGCACATGTGCGCATGTTTGTGCGTCGCGTCTCTATGCATTTCATCGTTCTCATCTGGTATGGATGGATGATAAGTTAACACACACACAAGGCACTTGCAACATCAACCTGCCATGGCACATGGGCTGAGTCCATGTGTGATTGACAGGCCACTGGCAAACCTTGGGACGAGAATTCAGCAAAATCCCTGGACAAAGCTCAAGTTTCTCTTTGGGCCTTTCCTCTGACTGCCCTTTTTCTCCATTCCTCCTCCCCTCCTTTCCTCCCTCCCTCCTTCCGACATGATCCCCCCAGCTTCCAGTCGCTCTGGTAGCCACAGCAGCAGTTGCTGCACGGAGGGACTACAGCATCTCGCTCTCCCCTCCCCGCTCCCACGCCCACTCCCACTCCCACTGCCACTGCCACTCGCACCAGAACAACTCCCCTGTACACACACCCTCTGTTCATATGCACGAGCCCCCCACCTCCTGCTCCCCTTGCCCATCTCCCACAAACACATTCGTTGCATCTTCTGCCTCCCCGCCTGCCTCCTCCCCCCAATCCCCGCTCCTCGCATCCCTCTCAACCCCTGGTTACTCCACCTTCCAGCCTCCATCCCCGTATCCTCCTCCCCACATGCAAACCACCTGGAGTCATCACAGCAGCATCACCAGCACCGCTTACACCCACACTCGCAGCTGCAGCAGCAACCAAGGCATCCACAGCAGCCGCAGCACCAGCAGAAACAGCAGCGGCGGCAGCAGCGGCAGCGTGTGGGGTACAGGGGCCGGGGCGTGGGCGTGGGCGTGGGAGAGGGAGGTGGTGTATCCGCTGTCAGCTCTGCTTGCTGGGTGCATGGGCGGGCTGCTGGGAGTGGGCGGCGGCATGGTCATGGGACCAGTGCTGCTGGAACTAGGCATGCTGCCTCAGGTGGGTCACTACCACATGCCATGCCCCCCTCTCCGCACATCCTTTATACCACAGGCATGCATAATCACACAGAATCGTGATCAGGTGTCTGGTATCCTCCATCCATCTGACTAGTATATCCCCACCCAACCCACCACCCACCCACCCACCCACCACCACCCACGCACCTACCCATCCTTACTCCCGTGTCCGTCCCTCCTGACCCCTCTCCCCTCTTTCCTTTCCCACTCTCCCCACTTCCCTTCCATCTTCCCTCCCACCAGGTATCCTCCGCCACATCCTCATTCATAGTCCTCTTCTCCTCCTCCCTCTCAGTCCTCGAGTTCTACCTCCTCGGCCGCATCCCCATCCCACCAGCGCTCCTCTTCTCTCTCATAGCAGCGCTAGCAGCCCTCCTGGGCCTGTCCACCATCCGAGCCCTGGTGGTGCGCTCTGGCCGGACGTCTCTCATCGTGCTCTTCCTCTCGCTTGTGATAGCCGCCAGTGCTGTGCTGCTAGGGGCGCTAGGGGTCATGAGAATACGCAGTGATTGGGAGTCGGGTGCACCGATGGGCTTCAGGGCATTCTGCGGTGAAACCTGGTGATGAAGTGTCATGTGAGTGAGCAAGTTAGGCCGGCGTACCAGCACTGCTGCTGCTCGTGTGCATGTTAGGTGTGTGTGTGATGACGGTTGAGTTGAATCTGCTTGATATGAGTTGCGCAGTGCACATCAGTGGTGCTTGTGCTCGTTGTCAGCTGTTCATGTGCATCCCGCATGCATTGCCGTGAATGCTGGCTTGCGTCTTCTGAGAGGATGCATTGCTAGGTGTTGTGTTGTTTCGCACATGGGTGGACCGTGGATTTATCATACATGGTTACTTCATGCCGCCGTGCTGCAATCACACCAAATCCAGTCTGCCGTGAAGCCCTGTGGAATAAGTGTAGCACCAGGGCTCAAAACAGCGCTATAAAGGTGTACATATACAAGCTATTACGGTATTAGCTGGCTATATGCTGGGCTCCATCAAGGAGTAGTGGAGCTCGCACACTAGGAGCGCAAAACCAGGAACTACGTAAGGTATATATCCCTAAGCAAATCATCCTACTGCTACCTACCGTACCTTATTTCCACCATCCCTACCACACTGGGATGAACCCTGCCCAATGTCAACAACGTTAGACTGGACTGCACTGCACCGCTCTGTACTACACAGTACCCCCAGCATGCCTCACCTCATCAGCACCTACCATCATCATCATGGGCTGTATGGAATCTTGGTTTCCCCAACCCACGTCCGCAGCTGCAGCAGTTTGCTGGGCATGAATCCCTCGGCCTGGTTCTCACTCAGCTTGCCTGGTCTCGCCCATGCCACTCTCCGTCCCTTGGCCCCCGGCCCTGTCGTGTCAAACTCTGCAAAGTACGGCCTGCCGCCCCAGATGGTCTTGGTGGTGGCATCTGACCACTCCAACCAGCCTGCTGGGACCACCACCTGTGGTTGGAAGAGGGGACAGAGGATGGGGAGATCAAGGGGGTTGAGCAGCCAGGGAGACAGAGGAGCGTTGAGTAGGCAGCAATATAAAGAGCCGAGCAGTGGGAGGGGGGTGGGGAGAGGGGGGCGAGGTGGAAGGAAAAGGGGGTGTGTCGCGCAGAGCCAAGGCAGTGCAGCAAGCTCAAGCTCAAGGTCAAGCTCACCGGCGAGAGATACGCTTGGATGAAGATGGTGCGCGAGTAGGGCCACCAGGGGCGCGCCAGGTACCCATACTGCCCCGCGCTCTCCCCCATGACCTTCCCGCGCAGGAACACAAACGCGGAGGGGTCTTTGAGGGTAACGCGCCCCTGCGCTGCCACCGTGCTGGAGTATCCCGGAGGGCTGCGCCGCACGATGAGAGTGCAGTCCTCGAACACGGCTGCTGCCACGCCGAAGACAAAGTCGATCGTGCCGCGGACTGTGCAGTTGCGGAAGTATTGGCGGCCCACGTCGGGCGCTAGCGTGTCCTGAGGAGGGGGGGATGGGGGGGGACGGGGGGGACGGGGGGGGGACAAGGACGAGGTTTGAGATGCATCGAAAGCCGCCCGCGGTGTGGTTGCGGAGGTGCTGCTGGCACACGTCTGGCGCTAGCGTGTCCTGGGACAGCGGGATGGCGCGAAAAAAAAAAACGATTATGAGAGCAAACCCGCGTCTCTCTTTCTGACCGGCGGTTCCCCCATCATAGCCTCCCAACCCTGCACCACTACCCAACCGTAGCGCGGCGCAGCGCAGCACGCACCTGGTGGCCGAGGAACACGCAGTCGTAGAAGGCCGACTTATCCCCCTCCGTGCGCAGCGCGATGGCCTGTCCCGCGGCGGGCCCGGCGCTGTTCGCCACGGTGATGCCCATGGCGGTGAACCCGTCCGCGTTCACTCCCACGCTCGCCGAGTCGAACGCCGTGTACCCCTTGCTCACGCTCGCGCCGTACGTGATCACCGTGTCCTTCGCGCCTTCGCCTAGAAAAATCACGCCGTTTTTGTTTAACAGGACTTTTTCCGCGTACTTTCCTTTCATGATATACACGACGAAGCGCGCCGGCGGCGGCTTGTACGCCGCGATGAGCTTCGTCGCAGCTTCCTGCACCGTCCTGCAGTGCCCGGGTTTCCCGGTCTTGGACACGATAAAATCTGGCTTTAATCGGGGCAGCTTCGCGCCCACGGCCGCGAGTCGCCTCCCGCGGTTCGCTTCCCAGTGAGCCGTTAGGTTCCCCGCCAAGAGCTCCTCCGCGCGCGCGTAGTGGACGCGCATGAAGCGCTGCAGCTCGCGCAGCTCCCCGTACTCCGACTCGCGCACCCACGTCGGCCGCGCCGCCGATTTTGCGGCAGCCGATGACGTCAGCCTGCGGGACCGGCGGCTTGAGAGCCAAGACGAGGAGGAAGAGGAGGAGGAGGGAAATGGGGGAGGATAAGTGTGACGCACAGCGCGATACAGCTCCCGCGCTTCTCGCGCCTCCTGTGCCTTCCGCGTTTGGCGCTGGGATAGTTTCCGCCGCCCGTCAACCTGCAGTCCTTTGCGCCGCGCGTGCATGGGGTTCCCTGGCCGCTCCGCGCCGTCCGCGTCCTCGTCTCTCAGTGACGTGACTATTGCGAGCGCGTTCGAGATGTAGCGAAGGGTGGGACCCGCTTTGAGCTTCGACGGGCTTTCCACCTCACCTCCACCCCCCCCGCCGCCGCCGCTGCCGCCGCCTCCGTTTCCGCCCTCTTCCGCGTCGCCCTCTCCGTCCTCAGCAAAATCCCGCCCGCCATCCCGCGCGCCAAGCGCTATAGCCGTTAGCGCCACCTCTTTACCGTGCGCCAGCGCCCCTTCCGCTGCGCCCCCCGCCGCCGGCTCCGTATCGCCTTCCGACATGCGCACGTGTCCGATAAGGGGTGTGTCCAGCTCCACCAGAGGCTGATTTCTGCCGCCGCCGCCGCCTTTACCGCCACGATGCCGCACTCTCGACACCAGGCCGTTCCACACGGCCGCGACGCTATTCGCGCCCTTCTTTGCGCCCTTCTTTGCGCCCTTCTTTGCGCCGCTCTTTGCGCCGTTCTTTCCGCCCTGTTTTGCGCCCGTCCTTTTCCTCTCTCCACCGCTGGCTGGGCCTATGTCGTTGTTCTTCCTCTTGCTGCCGCCGCTCCAGCCGTTGCTGCCGATAATCTGCGTGGTTGCCAAGCTGCCACTGGTCGTGTCGCCTGCCGGTCGTTCGCCCCCTCGTCCGCTGTCCCGACTGCGCGCGTTCCGCATGACCTCCTCCCGCGTCTTGAAGCGTGCCACGTGCACCCCCCCCGTGCCATCCGAGGAACTTACGTCCGCTACCTCCGCGGAACTTGCGGGTTCTCCCGCCTCCGCCTCCCCCTGCGCGTGCGCCTCCGCCGCTCCGCCATCCCCGGAGTTCTCCGCGACGGCGCGGAGGTCGTCGCCGTCGCCGTGAGCGGCGGCGGCGCTGGCGGCGGCCATGTTGGTGGAGCAGTGCGAGGTGAGCGTGAGCGCTGCGCCGATCCAATACGCCTGGCCCTCGGGTTCCGCGCCGTTCTTGAGCGACGCCGAAGCGCGACGGAGATACGCCGTGGCGCGGTCGAGCTGTCCGGGGAGGAGAGGGGAGGGAAGGGGGACAGCGGGGCGAGGGTGGGGGGTTGTGCATTGAGAAATCGAGTACCAGCCGGGCGAGTGAAGAACAAATAATCCTGGATGTTTCCTGAAATGGAGGGTGGCATCAAGGGAAGAGCATCCAGTCAGTCCGTCTAACTAACGGATCGCTGTGCGACGGACGGAGGGATAATGAGAACGGACGGACAGTCCGTTCACATGATTATGAGAACGGAGCCGAGCCGGCATTGCATCAACGGCAACAATGTGCTTGCAGGAGCCACTTTTGAGAATTATAGAAAAATGCGCGACAATCAGCGACGCGGCGTCGCAAGCCACAGTGTTTCGCCCGCGCGCACCACGCGTCCGCGCCGCACCTGTTCCAAGCAGTCTCTGGCGACGCGGCTCTCTCTCGCGCTGCGCGGGTCCTCGCCGCTGCTCCGCGACAGTTGCTCTGCGCGATCCCGCAGCAAGCTTACTTCCCCGAGCGCCACGTCTACAGTCATCGACGTCAGCAGGTCCTGCAAAAGCGACGATTGCGACGCTTGCGACGACGGTCGTCGGGCGCTCGACTGTTCCGCCAGATCGCGGCCGCGAGCTGCGGAAGATGCGCGGTGATGGCGGCAGATGGCGGAGAGGCAGAGCGCGGGGTCGTCGGCGCGCTGGCACAGGGCGGAGGCGCCGGGGAGGCAGTCATTGGCGGAAGAAATTGCGGCGGCGACAAGAAGCGGGGAAGAGGCGAGTGGGGGCAAATTGATTGGCGAGAGTGAGAGTGAGGAAAGGAGAAGTACGATGAGGAAGAGGAGGGGGGAGGGGGGAAGGACGTGAGGTCTGTAACGAGCCATTGATGCGGCGAGACTGGAAGCTCCTAAGATGGTTCCCCGTATTCCTTTGATATTAAGGTGGTTTCTCTCACGAGTGGGTCCCTTTGGGTGGTGATACCATCCACAGGGAAACGTTTGGAGCCGCCTCGAGATCGTAGAATACGGACGACGGGAAGCGTATGACGGGTGGCAAGGGCGGGGGAGGCAAAGAGACAGCGAGCGAGATGGAACGAGCCTACTTGGCTTGATTGGAGGGGCGCGAGGCGAGCGGTGAGAAACGTGAGTGGTGCTGCAACGCTGCTAGATATTCGAGAGCACGGGGTTGATGGAGCTGGAGCTACTAAGTCGTACAGTTCGTCGCTGCCCGCACAGCGACGCTTCGTGCGACGCCGCCGCCGCCGCGGCCCGACGAGGCGAGCACAACACCAAAGTAGCTCTGACTAATCGCGCGCTAGGAGTTCCCTCCGCGTGTTTCTCCTACGGAGGAGCGAGCTAGGTACGCGGACTGTTAGGACGCGATGTTGTGGTCGATTTCAGAGTTAAGAGTTCAGGGTGCTTTCCGCATGCTCTCATGCCTCATTGCCTTGCAACACCAGATCGCAAATCCGTCGCCAAACAAGACCCGAACCCTCGCGGATCGCTCACTTAAAGTCCTTGCTTGGTCTGCTATCAGCGCGAGATGTTTCCGTGCGCGCATCTTGCGCCTCTAACGGTTGAGAAACAGCAGGCGGGTAGAGTGTTGGGCGGTGAGAGGGGAACGGTGAGGGGCGGGAGTAGAGGGGCCGGCTCAACGGATCTAACGGCGAGCGAATGTGGGGGGTGGGTACTAAGGTGGATGCTACGTTTATCGTTCACTTAGAGTAACCAGCGCGTTTTCCGGAACGTGTCGGTTGGCGTCAAGTAAAGAGCGGAATTATTGTTGCTGGTTTCCGTCCACTTCTTTTCATTGCGCGCCTAGCGTGACGGCGCCAAGTCGTTGGCGGCAGCCTGCTACCGTTGGACTTTCAGCAATGGTATCTACGGCTGGGACGGATGAGTGGTGGTGGTGGTGGAGGGGTCGTGTGCGTCACGTGAATGCAAAAGGGGAGCATCAAGGCGAGGTGGCTGGTGATGAATTCGGTTTGGACGAGATGGGATGGGATGGGATCATGGGAATGGATGTGTGTTTGTCATTGTCGAGTGCATCTATGCAAGATCCTCACTACTGGTGGTGGGTGGTGTTTGGGTATGGTTTGGGGTGGTGTAGAGCGAACAGATCTCCTTGGATCCAAATGGGTAGGTCACCTTGCAGAGGATGTGGCGACGGACTGTACATTACACTGTTTGGCTGGACATTATACAAGACGAACATCTTGGCCGTCGATCTGCCGCAGTACCAGACCGCGTGTTGGCGATATTTCTGACGCGGTTCCAGCTTCCCGCCTTTCGCCCCATTGCTTTCCCATCAACAACGCGGTCCGATCATCAGTTTCGGGACCCTTTTCGTCAATGTCGCTCGCAGGTAATTCTTCTGGCTGTTTGAACGGTCGCAAAGTCCATGCGAATGGTTGATCTACATTCTGTTACACAGTAAATACTTTATTTTGTGCACTTGGCTTACGATCAAGTAAGAAAAAGTATTGCTATTTAGACTACAGAGCCTCACCATTCCAATATATTTGAATATTGCAGTTTATATTTGAAAACTTAAAAAATCTTTTTTTTTACTGGTGATAGGAAGTGATAGGTGATGTTTGATAAGATCGGCAAATCGTATCGCATAGTAAGATTCACGGATGATGATTGGTTATGACTCTTAACGGAGGAGTCAACAAGGGACTCTCTTCCCCAGTAAAACCAGCACCAGCACCACCACCACTGGTCGTTCCCTCCCGCCACCACCACCACCAACTCACCCTGCAACTCCCTCCCCTCCGCTCTGAAGCATTTCCCGCAACCTCGTCTACCCATCCACCCTGTGCTCATCAGTTCACGCCAGGAAGTGCATGCGACACAGTAGTAAGCACCGCACGACGCCGCACCGCTCCGTGGTGCGTAATCGCCGCGTCCTTAGCCTGATCTGTCTGCTCCCACCGTGCGGCCACGATCTTTATGCTCCCGTCTCGTTTCTCTCCCCCTCTCTCTCTCGATGATGCAATCCGTCCACTGATTCGTTTCGTCTTGTTCTCGCTACAAGCTCTTTCATTTATGGCTACGTTAATTCTCTGAGCGGCGTCGGCACCTTTCGTGCGGGTGTTTGACGCGCCGCCATAGCAGTCCGTCGGGAACACGCCATGCGCGCTCCTGTTTAAAGCTCTAAGCTCTCCAGCGCATTCCCCGCTCCGCCTCTCGCCTCTCCTTCCGACCATCCCAGCGGGTATTCTCATTCTCCGCTCCGCTCAATGCGCGGTAAGTTCTCCGCGCAGGCGCGGGTTTGGCACGCAGCGACCGAGGCGCAGGAGGAGACGGGGCAGCAGGCTGGAGGGGGGGTGAGCGAGGTGCGCGGGCGCCCGCCCCCCTCCGTCGGCGCAGCTTCCCCCGTACGGGGGCCCGTGCGGAGGGCGGAGGTGCCGATTGCGGGGAGCCTGGTGCTGGGGGGAACTGCGCATGGGCACGGGCTGGTCGGGGGAGGCTGGGGGGGAGCATGGGGGGTCGGCGGAGCGTGGGGAGGGGGAATCGGCGGAGCGTGGGGAGGGGGAATCGGCGGAGGCGGAAGCGGCGGGGGAAGCCTAATATCGTGGGTTTCCGCGGGGGTGGCTTGGGCGCAGCGGCATGTGCTTTTCCTTGCAGCCTTAATCCTGTTTCTGTACTCGTTAATAGCTGTCTTCCACGCGTCTAACAGCCCCGCGGATCCGCGGTTAGGGGGAGATGGTTCCGCGGCAAGACTCGGCGCTCTCCGCTCCCACTGTGGTCCGTCTACCGCGCTAGGCGCACAGAACAGCGGTGCTTCATCCTCGTTACAAGGCGGTGGCGCATTCGGGCTGGGGCAATGGCAGGGGATTCCCTCGCGCGTTATCGTGCCGCCTCCCCACCCGCTGTCCCGTTCCGTCGCGCGCGTGCTTCTTAAAGCCACCGCCGTGCTCTCCCTCTCCCAGAGCGTGCCGCGCGCCATGCGGGTGACAGGGCCAGGAGCGAGAGCAGGAGCAGGAGCAGGAGGAGGAGGAGAAGGCAACGGGGGAAGCAGACGAGGAGGCCGGGGAGGCGGAGCAGGCGGAGGAGGCGGAGGCGGACGGGGGTGGATGGGGGGAGGAGAGGGGGACTGGTTAGACGATACAGAGTCAGGTGCAGACGTAACGCAATCCCAATCGCAGCTCCGCGCAGACGAATCCCAAGCGGACGCCCAATCGCCATCCGCGCGCCTCTCTCTCACCATCTTCTGCGCGCCCAAGCCGTATCTCTCCGCCTCCCCCGCCTCCGACCCGCAACGGCGCGCGCTGCTCTCGTGGCTGCGCCTCTCGCTGCGCCCCACCGTGGTGCTTCTAGGGAACGACTCGTCCTTCCACGTCCTCGCTAAGGAGTTCCCCGGGAGGGTGGTTGTAGACGCGCGCGTGGACACGAATTTCTATGGCGTTCCGCTGGTGCACTCCATGCTTGCGCGCGCGCGCGCCGCGCCCACCATGGTGTCTCTGCTCATTAACGGAGATATACTGTTGCTGGAAGACGTTGTGCCGGCGCTTATTAAAGTGCAGAGGACGTTTAAGAGCTGGGTGCTGACTGCTGCTCGGTGGGACGTGAGTGCGGATTTCCCCTTTGCGCTAGAAGCACGGGAAGGGGGCGGAGGGGAGGGGGAGGGAGCCGGAGGAGGAGGAGGAGGAGGAGCAGGAGGAGGGGAGGAGGGGGAAGAGGGGGGTAGTGGCGAGGGGGAAGGTATAAGGCAAGCGGCGGAAGGGGAGTGGCTGGTGATAGGGGAAGGGAATGGGGCTAGCACAGACAGCAGCAGCAGCAGCAGCAGCAGCAGCAGCAGCGGTGGTGGTAAGAGACGGAGTTACCTGGTGGGGAGCAGTGTGGTAGAGGCTGAGGTGAGGCGATATGTGCGGCGGCAGGGCAGCCTGCACACGTATGGAGGGGTGGACTTCTGGGCGTGGAACAACTACGTGCATGGCGCTCGTGCCAGCAGCAGCAGCAGCAGCAGCAGGAGCAGAAGAGACATGAGTGAGGGGGGCAGTGACGGCGACAGCGAAGGTGGAAGCGGGAACAGGGAGGGCGGTGAGAGTGGTGGGAGCGGTGAGGGTGGTGAGCGTGGTGAGGAGGGCAGCGAGGGGAAGGACAACACGCCGCTGTTTGCAGGGGAGATGCCGCCGTTTGCGTTCGGGCGTGGCAAGTACGACAACTGGCTGACCCACGAGATCGTAGCAGCGGGGCTGCGGCAGATGGTGGATGCCAGCGATGCAGTCACGTCCGTCCACGTGGCGCATTCCTACTCGCACGTGGTGTCGGGGGGCGTGGCGGCAGGCAAGGCGGGGCTGAGTTTTTGGAGCACGCGCAAGCAGTCGAGCTGGGAGCTGTATGCGAATATACATATGTCACAGACGCACGGGTCGTACCGGAATCAGAAGGGCACTGCGCTGCATATTCCCTGGCGCCTGCTCTCCTGCTTCGATGCTGCTGGTAGGGAGGGACTCAGTGGGGGTGTGTGTGATTGGGCTGGGTGGGTGGAGAAGGAATGTGTTGAGAGCAAGGAACGAGGAGCGAATGGGAGTGGGGATAGGTGTGGGAGAATACTAGGGTGGGAGGCAGTTTGGGACGATCTGATGGGTTAGAACCGAGACTTTTGCAATGAGTGGCTTCCATGCGCCGTGCATCATGTCACCATCCCCCTCCTTCCAGCCTCACCCTACTTCCTCTCTCCTCCCTTTTCCTCATCCCTCACCGCATTCCCCCACCATTCTTCTGCTCCCCCCCACCCCCTACTCCCTGCCCACCTCTCCGACCTCCTCCCCACCTTCCCCACCTCTCCCCCCTCCGCCCCCCTCCCCCAGCGTCCAACATGTGCTTGCAGCGGCGGGTGCGGCCAGCCAACTGCACATGTGAGTACTCCTCTTTCGTGCCGGCGTCCCAATCAGACCCGCGGTGGGAGAAGGGCAGCACGGTGTGTGGCACGCTCTCCATCGACCACAACAAGGACTTCACCATCCACCCACTGCCCACGCCGCGATCGCCCCCGGGCCTCCCCCACACGCTCGAGCAGCTGCTGCCACAGCTCGCCAGGAACGTCAGCGCCGCTGCTGCTGCTGGCGGCGGCGGCAGCAGCAGTGGCGGCAGGGGGAGCGGAGAAAGGGAGAAGGAGCAGGAGCAGGAGGAGGAGCAGCTGAGAGTGGTGACGCTAGTGGCAGTCACCTTCACCTACGCCGACATGCTCATGAGCTTTGTCTGTCGCCTGCGCGCCCTGGGCCTGGCCGACAACCTCCTAATAGCAGCGCTCGACACGGAGATGTACCGCTTTGCCTTCCTGCAGGGCCTCGCAGTCTACCTCGAGCCAGGCGCCTCCGCCTCCCTCGGCTCACACGCGTCTCTCGGCACCGACGCTGCTTCCCCCTTCCGTGACTGCCCCTTTGGTAGCCCGTGCTTCCAGGCATTCACCAAGCTTAAGTCTCGAGCAGTGCTGCGGGTGCTCAGAGCTGGTTACTCTGTACTGCTGTCGGATGTGGACGTGGTGTGGTTTAAAGACCCATTGCCGTGCCTGCTGGCGTTTGGTCCGGGCACGCTGCCGATCCAGAGCAACGAGCCAAACGCGAGCCTGCCGGGTACGGGCATTCGGAGGATCAACTCGGGGTTTTACTTTGCGCGCGCGGAGCGGATGGTTGTGGAGGCGTTTGAGGCGATTGTGAGGCATGCGGGCAAGACGAAGCTGTCGGAGCAACCGAGCTTCTATGATGTGCTGTGCGGGGCGCAAGGGGAGTTGGTGGTGCGAGAACTGAAGCAGAAACAGCCGCAGCAGCAGCAGCAGCAGTGGGGGGGAGGGAGCCAGGCAACGCAGTGGTGGCTTGGCAGCAGCGGGAGCAAGGAGCAAGGAGGAGGGGGGTTGGGGGGAGTAAAGGCAGGGGAAGAAGAGGAGGAGTCGTGCATTTGGAAGAATGGTCTTCGCACGATTCTCCTGAACCGGTCTCTGTTCCCCAATGGGGCGGTGCATAAGTTGTGGGCGCGAGCGAGTGTGGGGAGGGCGTGTCGGGCCAAGGGGTGTGTGGTGCTGCATAATAACTGGATCACAGGGCATGCGGAGAAGAGAGAGCGGATGAAGCGACATGGGTTCTGGCACTATGATGTGGCAAGGAGGATGTGTGTGTGGGGGTGGCATGAGGAGTATGGAGGGGAGAGGGAGGATGCTGATGCACGTGCTGCTGGCCATGCGGATTCAAGGTGATGCATAGAGTCCATCGTCCATGTGCCAGTTGCTCCTTAGGTCTCTTGAAGGTGGTTGCTTTGCATGTGCACACACGCAATCTGGTCTGGTCTCGTCTCGTCTCGTCTCGTCTGTTCTCCTCTTTGCTTTGTACCATTCTATAAAAAACACAGGCTGATTTTTTTGGGGGTTGTCTATAAAGTGAGTTTCAAAAGCATTTTGGTTTTACCGTAAGAGCGTTGTCGGCATAGCCATCACAGCAGAGGTGGTGTTAGGCCCTTTGGCCTAAATCCGCTAAAGAATAAGCGGGGTTGACTATATCGAGGATGAAACGCGGCGGAAGGCTTTGGCGAAAGATGTATTAGCGAAATATGCGAAGTAACTGAGTAATGGTTGAATGAGAATTGGTTGATATTGGTGGATACAATCAAGGGTGATAAAGCATGCAAGGTCGAATGTCGGAAAGTACTCTGTGGGACTAGAATTGTAAGGCAAGAAAAGTTGAGTGCCACGTGGCACTAGGAAATCTGAGAAGATAACAAGATGATAAGGTTGGGAAGTCATGTTCAGGATGAACAGTAAAACCCCCTGTAACACTACCCCCCTCCCAAGGAGGCGACGTCCGCGGCGCCTGCAGACTGAAGGTACGCTTGGAGGCAAGCGTATCGGAATGAACAGTGTAGGAATGATTGGATTAGCAAGAGTTGGGGTACAAGTACTAACCCTAGAAGTGATGTACCCCATAAAGAGTGCCCCACTATAGCCTACAAGTAAGATTGTACTTTGACACACCCCCATAGGCTAAGTGGGGGACAACAAGACGGTCACAAGACCAGTCAAGCAAGACAACAGAGCAAAGCAAACCAAAGCTCATGGTGGATCTCAAGGACACCACACAATCCGAGCACAAGCAAGCGGCCACAAGGCCAGTTCACATGCAGAGTTATAATAGCAAGGCAGTACACTGATCATAACCTAGCAAGAGGAAACATGCAGGGATAAATATAGATATCAGTGTACAACAAGTGCAAGATCAAGAGACAAGCAGGTGAGGTAGAACGGGCAGAAGCCCAAGAGCAGTGCAAAAACGCTGAAGATCACCAGACCCGAGGGCCTTGGTAAAGACATCAGCAGTGTTGGCCCGAGAGGCCACGTAAGAAAGACGAAGCTGACCACGCTGCTGCAACTCTCGAGCAAAAAAGTAGCGAAGAGCAATGTGCTTCGTTCTGTGCTCCAGTCTCTGCTCCCGACACAAGGCAAGCATGGCCTTGTTGTCGACGTACAGAACTGGAGGAGAACAAGGCCGCTCCCCCAAGTCGGTCAGCAGGTAGGTCAGCCAGCGTAGCTCCTGTGCAGCCATGGCCCCAGCGTAGATCTCGGCCTTACAGCTGGAACCAAGCACAGAAGAAGAACGATTGGACCTCCACGAGACAGATTCAGAGCCAAGACTAAAGGTGTAACCCTGTGACGAACGCTGAGTCGCCTGGTCGTTGGCCCAAGAAGCATCGGAGTGTCCTATGATTACCACTGAACCCTGTCCTCCAAGCACGAGCCCCATGCCCGATGTACTGCACAAGTAACGCGGTACCCTCTTCGCAGCATCAAAGTGCGCCTTTCGGTGTCTACCGGGAGCCACGTAGCGAGTCAGGAGGCTGAGAGGGTACGCGAGGTCAGGTCGTGTGCACGTCATCAGGTACATGAGGCAACCCACAAGCTCTGGGTACGGACCACTCGGATCTACGGACTCGTCCGAAGGTGGAGCTGAGAGACAGAGGAGTGGGCTATGGCGAGGAGTACTGGCAGCCGAAGCGCTGAAGGACCTAGTGCACCATGTGTGACTGAGTCAGGGTGATGGTGCGCCGTGCTCTGTCCCGGGTGATCTGCAAGCCAAGATAGCTACGCATCTCACCCAGGTCAGTGCAGATGTGTCTCTCCTGCAGCTCCGCCTTCACTAGGGCCAGCGCCTCTGTGTCAGCAGTAGCAAAAACCAAGTCGTCGACGTACACGAAAACGTAGAACGGCGGCAGGGTAGTGTCAGTGCGTAGAAACAGCGACGGGTCAGCAGTGGAAGGAGCAAAGATAAGAGCCGCAAGTGTAGTCCTCAGTGTGTCGTGCCACTCTCGGGGCGCCTGGCGGAGACCGTAGACTGGCCGCCGGAGGCTCCACTGGGTACCCGCAGGAAACGACCAAGTGAAGCCAGGTGGGCGGCGGAGCCAGATCTCTTCGTGAAGGCTGCCTTGCAAGAAATCTGTGGAGAAGTCGAGAGAGTGCAGCTCGTAGTCACGCTGTGCTGCAACGTGCAGCAGCACCCGAAGAGTAGTCATCTTCGGGGTGGGGGGGAAGGTATGGAAGAAGTCGACCCCCTGTCGCTGACTGAAGCCTCGAGCAACGTAACGCGCCTTGAAGGCAGGCGGAGAACCCTGCGGCCGCTTCACAATGAAAATCCACATGCCATCGACTATGTTCACCCCAGGAGGAGGAACCTCGTCGAAGTAGGTGCCTGTGGATTTCCAGGAAGCCATCTCTGCGTCCATGGCTGTCTGCCACTGAGAGGAGTACTCACCCGCGATCGCCTCAGCGTAAGAGCGCGGGGTAGGGATGTCAAGTGCATCTGGGCTCTCTTTGGGCAAAGCAGCATGGATGCGAAACGAGGTAAAGAGGCCGCAAGACACTCAAGCTCAAACTGCCTGTCCTCAAGGACGTCACTGCTAAGGGCACGCTCACCCCCGACAGACGGAGGACAGACAGACCCAGACTCAGTGACAAAACTCGCGACGTAGTCGAGATGACTCCTAGTTGCAAAGTCGACTAGCTCAGTGACTAGGGCAAACGCTGCAGTAGACTCAAAGTCAGGGTCAGTAACGACAGTAGCGAGGAGACAAGTGACAATAGGACTGGCAGCACGAGCAAGGTCGGACTCAGGGTCAGGAACGTGCGGAAGAGAGAACGCGGGAGGCTCAGGCAGGACAACACGCCGTGGAACAGAGGAAGGACGAAGTGCCATACCGTGAGTGCCTGGGACAGGAGGAGGACGAGGACGGGCGACACGACGAGCACGAACAGGTGTGGAAGCACGAGACTCAGGCTCACGACACTCAGTCAGGGACTCAGACACCTCAGTGTGAGGAGCAGGAGCAGGCAGCGGGGAGCCAGGCAGTAGCTGTGGCTGAGACTGGTCTGTCGGTGGACACAGGAGAGGTGGAGTGAGGCCAGTGGAAGACGGGAGACTAAGAACCTGGCAAAGGACCGAGTCTGGCGGCGGCAGGGACGACTGCGGCTGCAGGTAGAAAAACAGTCGGCGCGGGGCAGTACCAGCAGCTCCAGCTCCTCCAGCACCAGCAGCACCTGCACCTCCAGCACCAGCAGCACCACGAGCTCTGGCAGCGCCAACACCTCTAGCACCAGCAGTACCTCCAGCACCTCCAGTGCCAGCAGCTCCAGTAGCACCTCCAGCACCTCCAGCACCACTTGCTCCGGCAGCTCTAGCACCTCTAGTACGAGCAACTCCAGGACCAGCAGCTCCAGCACCTCTAGTACCTCCAGTACCTCCAGCTCCAGCGCCTCCAGCACCAGCAGTACCTCCAGCACCTCCAGTGCCAGCAGCTCCAGTAGCACCTCTAGCCCCTCCAGCACCAGCAGCACCACCTGCTCCGGCAGCTCCAGCACCTCTAGTACGAGCACCTCAGGGACCAGCAGCTCCAGCAGCTCCAGTACCTCCAGCTCCACCGCCTCCAGCACCAGCAGCACCAGCACCTCCAGTGCCAGCAGCTCCAGTAGCACCTCCAGCACGAGCAGCAGCACCAGCTCCAGCAGCTCCAGTACCTCTAGTACGAGCACCTCCAGGACCAGCAGCTCCCGCAGCTCCAGCACCAGTAGCACCAGCAGCACCTCCAGCACCTCCAGCACCAGCAGCACCAGCACCTCCAGTGCCAGCAGCTCCAGCACCTCCAGCACCAGCTGTACCTCCAGGACTAGGAGGTCCAGCACCTCCAGCACCAGTAGCACCTCCAAGACTAGTAGCTCCAGTACCTCCAGCACCAGCAGTACCTCCAGTACCTCTAGGACTAGCAGCTCCAGTACCTCCAGCACCAGCAGCACCTCTAGTACCTCCAGCACCAGTAGTACCTCCAGGACTAGCAGCTCCAGCACAAGCAGGACCGTACCCTCCACCACCAGGACTGCCTCGCCGAACGATCCACGCACGAATCGCCTGCGGCGAGAGCGTCTCAAGTAGATCAGGCTGCGGTGGCTGTCCAGCTCCAGGACCTCCAGCAGGGTCACCCACAGCTCCATCGCCACTAGGACTCGCAACACCCCCAGAGTCAGCACCCCCAGTCACAGCACCTGTCACGATAGCGACTTAACTAGCGAACGGGTTTAACTAAGGGCCTAGGCTAGAAGCCTAGGCCAAGCGGGTGTCGAAGAGTTTGTGCCAAGGGAGAATCGAGAATGAGTGGGTTTCACTATAGCACACAAGGTACATATAGCAAAATGAACAAAGGTGCACCACCAAACAATAGGAACTACACAACAGTAAATCCTACAGGCAGTTATATAACAGAACATTATAATTATAATGTCTGACACAGCCCCGTAACTGCGTGCAGGAGAAAACCTGTGTAGAACACCCCTTGAAGGGGTACACCTGGCGCACCAGAAGACGGCAGAGGGGTAAGTGAGGAGGAGGAGGCGAGAGAGAGAGAGAGAGAGAGAGAGAGAGAGAGAGAGAGAGAGAGAGAGAGAGAGAGAGAGAGAGAGAGAGAGAGAGGAGAGGAAAGGAGAGAAGTACGAAGGAGGAGCTGAGAGAGGGATGAGGCGAGGAGTTGAGGGGGAGCCACCCGTGGCGAAATCCTCTTCCCCTTTTACAAAGGGGGGAGGTGAGAGAGTGATGAGGAGAGGAGGTGGGGGGGAGCCAAGCGCGGCGAAACCCCTCTTACTAATCCCCAAATCCCCACACCCATGCAACCACCCCCCCTTAACCTCACCCCCCATAACAGCCGCCCCCTCTCCCCTTCCTTCCTCCACACCCCTGCCCCACCCCAGAATCAGCACCCCCAGTCGTAGCACCCCCAGGCGCAACACCCCCTGAACCCTCACCCTCTGTCTCAGCACCCCCAGGCTCAGCACCAGCAGTCTCAGCTCCAGAGTCCACAGCAGCAGGCTGCGGAGGCGGCGAAGACGGCCGAGGCGGAAAACCCGGGGGGGTCTCCAAGCGTGGAGAGCGGCGAGTGGCCGCCGTGTCGTCAGCGGCGGGGTCACCCCCCTCAGCTGGGCCAGAGGAGTCAGAAGAGATCTCCAAAGGCTCAACCAAGGGGGGTGGGACTACCTGAGACACTCCCTGCACTGCGCTCCCTCTTTCCCACTTGCTGAGCCCGATGCCGCAGCAGAATCGGATGGTGCAGCAGCAGCAGCACATGATGGTGCGCTGGCATCAGCAGCCGCGAATGTGGTGAGAGGCGTGGTAAGAGGAGCGGTGAGAGGTGAGCCCCCCTGGGTGGTGGTGGGGGCCATGGGGACGCAGCACACTCTGAAGGCCACGTGGCCCGATACGGTGGTGCGGATGGCATGGCCTGATGGCAGCGACGGGCGGGTGAGCACAACACAGGGCAGGGCAGAGCAGAGAGGGATGCGATAGAAAAGAAGAGAAATGTGAAACGAGCACGAGCAAAATTCTGAACAGCACCAGCGACCACAACAGCACCAGCGACCACAACAGCACCAGCAACGGACAACAACAGCATCAGCAACAGCGACAATAACAGAGACAGCATCAACAGTGACAGCAACACTGACAGCCGCAGCCGCAGCAACAACAGCAACAACAGAAACTGAGGGAAAAGGTGAAGGCCAAGCAACTGCACGGCATGAGCAGAGAAGCTCAACGCGATATACTCTATGAGCTCCCCGACGACTTGAGCGAGGACAAGAAAGGAAGTGGAGAGCATGCAAAAGGTTTATGCTGTGCGAAGGAAGGCAGCAGCAGCGGCGATATGCTGCGAGGCGGCACTCACTGATGAGCTCCCTGACGACTTGAGCGACGCGGAGTGGATCCCCCAGCAGCACCTCGGGCACATTGCAGTCCACCTGACACACCACTGGTGGACACAGACAGGGAAGGCAGGTGGGCAAGGAGGGCAGGGCGGGCAGGGATTTGAATGAGATTAACATGGCACAACACTCCCAAGCACACGCCCGACAAGATACAGGAAGACGGGCGATCTTATTGAAGAGCGTGAGGTTCTTTCACCCCACCAAGGATGGCAAGTTAATGCACTACCACAAGAAGCACACATACATGCACCGAGCCACCCTAGCAGGCCACACCAGCAATTCTCCACACAGCTAAACCTACCCTGTCCTCATTCTCCAGTGCTCCCTCCCTCCTCTCCATGCCCATCACTGCTATACCAGGAAAAAAAAGTGCCTGTCAGTCGCACTGATGGGCCTAATAGTAGGCCTAAAGCAGTCAGTTTCAGTTCTTGAGGCGCCTGAAAACAGTTGAGACGCCTCAAATCAAAACCCATGGCACTCACTGTGCAGGCCCCTCTTGCAAGCCTCTTTTGAGACCCCTCAACAGTCAACTCACAGTGCAGGCCCCTCTTGCAGGCGTCGGGCAGCAAGTCGCGGGCGACCATGTCGACGCAGTGGCGCAGGGAGAGCGGGAGAGTCTCGAGGGAGAGGCGGCCGGCGTGCAGCTTGGCGAGGTCGAGCACGGAGTTGAGTTGCCCCACGATGGCTGCTGCACACTCCTTGGCTGTTGTCAGGTCCCGGTGCTGCCCGCCCTCCAGCTCGCTCTCCAGTAGCGCCTCCATCATGCCTGGCGGGGAAGAGGAGGTCAGGCAGGGGTGGCGGGGAACAGGAGGTCAACCTAGCATGCCCACGATGGGAGTGCACCAACCTAGCATGCCCACGATGGGAGTGCACCAACCTAGCATGCCCACGATGGGAGTGCACCAACCTAGCATGCCCACGATGGGAGTGCACCAACCTAGCATGCCCACGATGGGAGTGCACCAACCTAGCATGCCCACGATGGGAGTGCACCAACCTAGCATGCCCACGATGGGAGTGCAGCAACCTAGCATGCCCACGATGGGAGTGCAGCAACCTAGCATGCCCACGATGGGAGTGCAGCAACCTAGCATGCCCACGATGGGAGTGCACCAACCTAGCATGCCCACGATGGGAGTGCACCAACCTAGCATGCCCACGATGGGAGTGCACCAACCTAGCATGCCCACGATGGGAGTGCACCAACCTAGCATGCCCACGATGGGAGTGCACCAACCTAGCATGCCCACGATGGGAGTGCACCAACCTAGCATGCCCACGATGGGAGTGCACCAACCTAGCATGCCCACGATGGGAGTGCAGCAACCTAGCATGCCCACGATGGGAGTGCACCAACCTAGCATGCCCACGATGGGAGTGCAGCAACCTAGCATGCCCACGATGGGAGTGCAGCAACCTAGCATGCCCACGATGGGAGTGCACCAACCTAGCATGCCCACGATGGGAGTGCACCAACCTAGCATGCCCACGATGGGAGTGCACCAACCTAGCATGCCCACGATGGGAGTGCAGCAACCTAGCATGCCCACGATGGGAGTGCAGCAACCTAGCATGCCCACGATGGGAGTGCACCAACCTAGCATGCCCACGATGGGAGTGCACCAACCTAGCATGCCCACGATGGGAGTGCACCAACCTAGCATGCCCACGATGGGAGTGCACCAACCTAGCATGCCCACGATGGGAGTGCACCAACCTAGCATGCCCACGATGGGAGTGCACCAACCTAGCATGCCCACGATGGGAGTGCACCAACCTAGCATGCCCACGATGGGAGTGCACCAACCTAGCATGCCCACGATGGGAGTGCACCAACCTAGCATGCCCACGATGGGAGTGCACCAACCTAGCATGCCCACGATGGGAGTGCACCAACCTAGCATGCCCACGATGGGAGTGCGCAGCTCGTGCGACAGATTGGCAACGGTCTCGCTCTTGGAGCGCTGGGCGCGCTCGAGCACGGCGGTGCAGAGCTCCACCTCCCTCACGGCGCGGCTGATGGCCGCCTGCTTGCGCGCCAGGAACACCACGATGAGCGTCAGCAGCACCGCCACCACCGCCACCAGCACCGCCACCAGCACCGGCGCCCACACCAGGCGCCATGCACTGCCGCTGTCCAGGAACCTGGACATCAACCAACATTAGCAGTTTGACGACACAGGGGAGGGTACTGAGAACGAGACCCTGCAGCTTTTCAGGAACCTGGAGATCAGGCAACATTAGCAGTTTGAGGGCACAGGGGAGTGTATTGAGAACCTACTGCCATTCAGAATCCAGAAGCACAAACAGTAAAAGGTTGAAAGGAGAACAAGGGAAGCAGAGGGGAGACAGGAAGGTAGGAAGCACAAGTGCAATGCAATGTGTTTTCATAACCAAGGAGTAGGGGTGGAGGGAACATGAAAACAACGTAAGCAAATTTGGGTATGCATGTTGAAGTAGCTGTGGCAAATAATACCTGCAGTGTGCTTGAAGGTTTCGCAGGCGGAAGGTTTCTGGGAAGGGTTGCACGACCTTATAGCCTGGCTGTACTTGCGTGGGTGTTATCCATTTCATAGGAAGGTCAGTGAAGTTCTTGCTGACGTTGGCACCAAACATAAGCACAGGAGCTTCCTCGTCCGTCGCATCGTATAGATCAAATGAGTATTTATTGGTTGCTGCGGACCGCAGGTGCATGGGAGAGGATAGATCAGGGTTTCAGAGACGGTTTTATCAACAAGACAGTTTTTATCAAATGTGTACTTATAGGTTGCTGCCCCTGCCCTTGCCCCTGCCCTTGCCCCTGCCCCTGCCCCCTGGTCTGGCGTCTCACCATAGTTGAGCACGTCCATGAGGGCATGCGAGATTAGTGTCTCCGTGTCGATAGCCCCCGCTATAGCGCCTGAAATGCTTTCTAATCCTTGCTCCAAGGAGGGGTGCGGCGGCAACGGCGTGCGTATTACTGGGATGCCGTAAACTGCAGGGAGACACGAGGATATGGACTGCAGGGACTGAGTGAGTTAGCCTAAGTGAGGCTGGCAGGAAGACCGACGGAAGAGGGAACAAACTCCAGAAACTACTCGGATGCCAAAACTGACTTGGAATGAAGGGACGTGCTGAATGAAGGGACTGATTGCCAGAGACGATAGCAATGGGGGTATTTGAACCCCTTCGGGGGAACAGATTGAAAGGGCAGAAGGCGGAAAGAGAGGGAACGGACAAAACCCGATGTGGTTGTTGGGCAGCAAAAGCGGAGGGAAAGCCACATTCTCGCCCGACAGAAGAAACCGGTTGGTTATGGCAATGAGAACAGAGTAGAGGTCGGTGCACGGGGGGAGGTCGTAAGGCGCGGGGAAGCGGAAGACAGAGACAACATAGCGCGGAGAAGCAGGGGCCACATTTCCGAGCATTGTCCTGACAGTGCAGTTGAGAATTCTCTCCAACACAGGGCTGAATGCAGTCGCGGGCGGGAGGGGCGGAGTGGAGGGAAGGGGGGAGGGACCAGGAGGCAGGGCAGGCCAGGTGAGGAGGAGACAACAAGCCTGGCTTCCCGTGCACTGGACTGGGTCACTCACATCACAGCAACGAACGGATGTAAGAGGTGGCTTTGTAGTCGACTGAAAGATTATGGAGAGGTGAGAGACAACAAAACAAGCTGGGGAATCTCATGCATTGGTCTGGATCACGATTCACATGAATGGGAGTAAGATGGTATCACCATGTATGCCAGCCTGCACATTCATGCACAGTCTTTCTACAAGAACAAGGATAAGGATGGCTGAACTTCAGGCAGAATGGGGGGTTCATCGAAAGTTTGCATCGCAGCGAGCAAGATGGAGCGCAACCCTAGAATGTGCAAAAAGGGCCAGCCTGAAAAAAAAAATGTGGACACTATTTCGATCAACAGGGGGGCCCAGGCAGATTTCCATCAATCAGAAAACCTAAGTTCTCAACCGAAAAACATCCGCCTGTCAGTCACTGAGCTCAACCTAAGAAACCTAAAGATTTCGTTCTATGTGTCTAGTTTTGTCCACCCACAATGCCCGTTTTTCTTTGCAAAAACAAAAAACTCTGTATAGTTTGTACGCAGTCCCATTACCTGGTTTCCTTGCCCTGCCGGAAGTTTTTTAGCTGCCCGAGGATGATGCGTGCAGCGTCCAGACGCTAGCATCAAACGCTGGACGCGCCCACGATAAAAATAGGGTTACGTATGGTGAAGTGAAAGCAGCTTATCACCTGAAATTTGATACGGGCAGCTGGAACCAAACCCTTAAACCTCTATATTACCAGGTGCTGCTGGGGCTAACCCACTAGGGCATAACGATATGCTTCGCAGAGTTAGGGACATGCAGCATCACCAAGCTCGGGAGCGGGTTGGGGGACAGTCGGAATTGGGGAGTGGCAGGGAGTTGAGGGGGACGAGTGGGGGAGGTTGGGGGAGCGATGCATCTAAAGTTGGGGGAGGCTCAAGTGCCGATAGTAACACCAAAAATGGGTAACTCAGGAAAAGAGGGGATTGGGTGGTGTTGTTGGTTGGGTGGGTGGGTGGGTACCGTTGGTCGTGGCTGATAAAGACGCCCCACGAGGTGAGGGACCATGGCTGGATGCGTTGAATCCACTGCTCGCTGAATGCGCTCCACGTGGCGTTCGTTATTCCGCCCTCCAGACCCCAGTAGGAGGGGGTGTTACGGGTCGTGGATATGCCGTTGAACACCTTCACCAGCCCTGCCAGGATCTGCATTGTATTGTAGGGAGGGGGAGGGGTGGGGGGGGATACTGATAATCGCGTTTTGAGACGTCTCAAATCCAGACCCCAGTAGGAGGTGGTGTTGCGGGTCGTGGATACGCCGTTGAACGACCTTCACCAGCCCTGCCAGGACCTCCATTGTAGGGAGGGGAGATAACAATAATCGCGAGGAGGCACGAGACGGTCGGTCGTTCCTGAGAAGCTGCGCAGTTGATTTGATCATCCGATGATGGAGAGCCATCATCGTCCCCGCGAATCAGCACCTCCCAAAACCCTGCGCTGCCTCCACCCGACCGGACTTACTATCTATTCACACTACTAGTAGCGTTTCGTTATCGCGTCGCGACTTCCAGCATCGCGGAACAGTACAACTAGCAGTAGCATGATACCACCATCTGTTCACGCGAACATCCTATTATGTATCATGAAACCCGTGGGAGCAATAAACAACCCGTGATAGGATGGGACGCCGCTGTTTCGGTCAGCGGCCGCGCTTGTTTCGACGGGTTCCACCACCGAGTCGCCGAATTGTCCTTCGCGACTTTAAATCGAGGCACGGACAACGAACAGGCCACTAATGGCTCAGACGCTAGTGACTTAGAAGACAGAAAGAGACCCTTCCTGGTTTAGGCTGCTGCGACACCCAAGGGAAACGGCCATTCAGACCCACCTCGACTTGATTCGAGCTCGACACGAATTCCTGGTGCACGTATCGCGTTCGAGCCGCGCACCATGTGCGGAGATCTTCTTTGCGTGGGTTATCGGCGGCTTGCCACGTGAACCACGCAGTCCACACCGCGATCGTCAGCCAAGCGAGACACCACGCGACAAGCGCCAGGCGACGCCATAGTAACCGCATCTCCTCTGTTCACTAGCTTAAGTGGCATCAGTTGATTAGTATGTGCTCCTTAGAAAGACCGCAACTTGAGTACTCACCATTCCTCCCTGGGGCTCCTCGAGTGCAAGGGTGTGCAATAGATTGGGTTCGTGATATTTACTGTTGGTGCGGTTGTATTTACGCTGTGGACCAGAGTTCAGCTGCGGTGGGATCGGATTCGTGGGGTGTTCTTCCACCTAGGCCCTCGGACGTCAGGATACCCGACCTGATAGCCCTCCCTCGTCTGCTCTGAAACTGTATACACCCTATTAGCGATAAACTCACACCCCCTACCCATTCTTTGTAGGTACCCCTTACTCTTTTAGGCTTGACGTGCGGACACCCAGAGATTGAGGGTGTATCAATAGACAACCGAAAGGTAGTCTCTAGAATGAAACTCGCACTTTGTGTTCCGGGTGAAGGTTTTAGGTATTCTTGTTGCTTCCCACCAATTCGTAAAAGTACGTCGGACCCTTCTCATAAATTTCCTAAACGTCGATAACTACCCTACGAAAACGTTTGACCTAGGGTATGTACTCCAGGGTGTGAGATTAAGGGGTGTGAAATTATCGCGAATAGGGTGTACAAGCATCATAATCATCATTATCATCATCGCCTCTTTCTTCCACCCGAAGGGTGCCAGCGTCGCACCTAAGCGATGATTGTGTGCGACGCGTGATACACCTAACCCACGCAAATTTCAAAAAGTGGACCCCGTAGCGCGTCCTTGTCGTTTTGCACTGGGGTTGAAATTGGGGGGAGCAAAAAAATTCCCTCCAATTTCAACAGACTCACGAAAGATATAAGGTTTCGGGTCGGTCTGAACTGTGCAAGAGCAGTTGCACGCGGTTTTATTTAACGAGGGATGTTGCGTATGCGGATATTCACACTACAACGGTGGGAACTAGACTACGGGGTTGGCACAGGTTTTGAGTGTAATCGCAGCATTCCTTAGCGTTCTCTCTACTTACGCATTCACAACGGGAATTGGCAAGAGTTTCACTAGAAAAAGTTCAGAACAATGATAGCAACAAAATTGGCAACAATTACTACATCAGATGCAAGTTTCCCTAGCACACAGGCAGGTCGACCTCCAACGTAGGAAAGTCGACCACACTCCAGCAGTGCAAAGTAGACCGCGCTCCAGCAGTGCAAAGTGGCGACTTGCCAACGTAGCAAGTCGACGGCTTGCCAACGCTGCAGTAAGGCGGCCGTCCAGCGTTGCACCCGCACACGAGTGCACCAGCATCGCATGTGCTTGCATATGGTTGGTGCGACGTGCACCGTCACGTGCACGGCGACAGTGCCGAGTCGGCCACGTGCCGTTGGTTGCGCCTGATGAGCAACGTCGACTTCGGGATGCCACTCCGAGGTCGGCTTCACCAAACCCTCCTGGGCGACGGTCGCGCACCCCGCAGAACCTCGTCGCCCTGGTTACTTGGTCGACCGGGAAACCACCAAGTCGGCGTCAACTAGGTCGGTAATAGTCGACCAACTGTTGTACGTGCTCGTCGACCACCCAGGTCGACAACCACCAGCTGACTTCACCAAGTCGGCCACTCCCAAGGTCGACCACTCCAGATCGACCAGACCAGCTGTCCGCCGACTACACCAAGTCGGCTTCCCCAGGTCGGCGCCCTTAAGTCGGCGCCCCTCCCAGGTCGACGAGTCCCGTCGTCGACCACTAGTCGAAGTAGGCCGTCGGCTTCCCGTCGACGGCGGCATCACAGTGGCCCCGTGCATATCGACCGAGTCCGTCGAAGTGCTCGCCCAAGCCGGCGTCGCCCATTGCAGCAGGTTGGTTGCACCTCTCGCACATCCGACCACGAAGTCGGCTCCGCCCAAGCGAGGACGGGGCCAACTCCCGTTAACAGCGTGGACCGAACCACTCTCGGCCAGGACCCACATGTGAAGTCAAGGGCCTTGAAATTGGAGAGATTGAAATTGGCGGAGGTTAGGTGTAGCCCAGGAACAGGCGAAACATATCGAAGTCGAACTCATTTGCGAATGTTACAAGGGCCTTGTTCTGTAGGCGGACTTGCCTCTGCATAAAATATACTTGCCAGCCTTTCCCAGTAGCTTCGCGTCGCACCCAGTCGATTTTGCTGCGCGGATGTTGCCATGAAGCCCCGCACAACCCAAATGCATTTTCACAATTTGCTGCACAAACACGTTTCGAAGCTGCCCACGATCTGGACAGGTCTTCCCCTAAAACTTGTCAAGGGAATACCCTAGTAGGCCAACCGCAACAGACAACTACCTTTGGCGGGTAGGGTCAGGTGGTGTGGTTAGGTTGAGGGAAATTTTGCTACCTGTACACAGGTTAGAGGGCGTGTTGATGTTGCCCCGCATAACTTGTGCGATGGCTGATGCTAGCTCTAGAGGTAGCATCAGCAGCACACTAGTTGTGCGACGTTTTTCCCGGCGGAGCAACAATTTCGAAATTGCAGACGATTAATTTTGTGCGCCCCAAAAGTGGTGTTATGCAGGCTGAAGCGTTAAATTTGGCGCAAACAGGTTTGGCAGGACCTCTCGTATCACCAAACCTCGATAAGAAGAAGACACTTATCAACGAAGATTCTGCAGACCCAGATTCTGGAAATTTAACGCCTACAGAACAAAGCCAAGCAGTATCAGAACTCTGAATGTGTAGTTTTTTTTGTAGCGTTAAAAATCGGCCTTGAAAATGTCGAAAGCTCCTCCAATGATGTCAACGGATACTTTCGTACGAGGCCCCATTGTGTAGTTTCTGGAATGTCCAATGCCCATTTGTCCAATGTCCAATGCCCACCGCGAAAGGGGCGGGCTGGGATGGACTGATATGTTTTAAGCTGGTTGGCCGGCTCGACACTGAAAATGCAAGTTTTGGGGAATACTATGAAAATACTCTTTAAAGCAGGATTATCTGCATAGATGCCCAACTCCACACCCGATTGCACTAGACTGCCCATTCGAAACACCCTTCTGACAAGCGTGATGGTTTAGGTGCAACGGCCCAGTTGTCACAAACCACGTGCAAAACACCTCCCCCTCGGCACCCGAATCTCGGAACCGTACAGTTACGACTGCCGATGTATTGTTGCACTTATAGTGTATCTTTGCATCAAAAAAAAAAAAAAATTGGGGGACCGAGATGTTGTAAGGGCGTGTCATGTGAGTTTAGTTTATTACGGTTGGATGAGATGCTGTGCGTGTTAAGACGGCTTGTAAACACTTCATTACGTTTAATTAAGGTTTTGAGCGAAAACGAGTTCATAAGTCTAAAATGATGTTGACACCGATATGATGTGGATATCATCGGAAAGAATTAGCGATGTCACGATGTGGATGTGGATGGTTGCATGGTTGGAGGTTCGAACTGATGGGGTTACTATGGCGTCGCCTGGCGCTTGTCGCGTGGTGTCTCGCTTGGCTGACGATCGCGGTGTGGACTGCGTGGTTCACGTGGCAAGCCGCCGATAACCCGCGCAAAGAAGATCTCCGCACATGGTGCGCGGCTCGAATGCGATACGTGCACCAGGAATTCGTGTCAAGTCTGAATCAAATAGAGGTGGGTCTGTCGTCGTCGTGATTCGCGTGACTCGTGATCATAGCAGGCGTTGAACTCTCCTGACCCCCACTAAATTAGATGACTTCGCCCCTCCACAGCGCTTGACACTTGCCAGTCACGCTCGAATAAAGCAGCGATATTATCACCTTCAACGCTCGTGGCTCGTTCTGTTCCTAAACCTCGCTTAGCACCGCAGTGCCGCCGAATCTCGCGAGCCGCGTCCGGCATCAAGCCTTAGGTAGCAGTGAGTCACCGCTACGGCCGGAACTCGTCATCAGAATCCGTTCACCGCCGGCGAGCGTCCTTTGCGCCGTCTGCTTGCTTAGTGTTCCCAAACCCCGCGCAATTCATCAATTCCTCTTCTCTCCGCGTCCCAGATCCTGGCGGGGTTGGTCAAGGTGTTCAACGGAGTCTCCAACGCACCCAACACGCCCTCCTACTGGGGCCTCAAGGGCCATATAACCAACGCCACGTGGATCGCCTTCAGCGAGCAGTGGATTCAGCGCATCCAGCCATGGTCCATCACCACGTGGGCCGTCTGTATCACCCACGAAGAACGGTACACACCCTCCGCGCTCCGCGCTTGTCTAATAGTTGCTTCCTTCTCCTCACTGCTCTCTCGCTTCCTTCCCTTCCCTTCACTTTCAGTATCGTTTACCTTGCTGTCGCTAACGGAAGTCCGCTTATGAACGGGGATTTCCCACTCCTGTCCCACCACTCTACAGATACAGGATTTTTGAGAATTCTGAAAGTCCTGGTTTCGCTGTTGTCACAATTCATTCCTATTCTGGCCTCTTAAAGCACACATTCAAAGCGACCGTCCTGCCCCATTTTATAGCACCTCCATTGCAATGCACGCTGATGTGGTTCCATGAGCACCAACCTAGCACCTCCATAGCGACTGTAAGCACGTTAAAGCTGCCCAAGCTCACTAGAACAGCAGCAGTGCCTCAACCTGTGAGCATTACGCCTTGTTTCACCTCCCCTGTCCCCCCTCTTCCATTTTCCCTTGCTCCACTCCACCCCTCCCTCACATCACATCACATCACGTGCGTCCTCCCCTCAGCCCGGCGTTCGAGAGAATTCTCAACGCTGCTGGGATCCGTGGCCCCTGCTGCTCCCTTTTATGCAGTCACCATCTTTCGCTTCCCCATCTACGAGTTCCCCCCGTGCACCAACGTATACACGGTGTATCCGCCTGTTGTAGACCAGTTTCTGCGCACGGGCGAACGTTCTGCTATGCCCCCGGTTTTGTTCCCGACTCAACACATTGGGTTAGGTCCGTTCCGTTGCTCTTCCCGTGTACTCTCCCATGCTCTCAAACGGTCCCATGCTCTCTCTCTCTCTCTGGCACGTTCTGACTGGCTGTTTCCTCCTCCTTGCTAGCTTCGCCTCAGCCTGTGTCGTCACAGTTGGCTGTTTGACAGTTCTTGCTCATTCCCGTCTCCCGTGTTCGGCATTGCATTCTACCACCAATCAATTCACACCGCATGCACATTCTATCCCATTCTCCTCCTCATTTAGCGAGCCCTACTGTCCTCCTTTTCTGCTCTCCCCACTCTCTGCCTCCCTCCCTCCCTAATTTGATCTTCCCTCTGTCCTTTCTCTGACCTCTTCTCTGCACCATTCCTCTCCACTCCACTGTCTCTTCCCACCTATGTTTCCCACCAGTGTACGGCATCCCCATCGTCCGGTCACCATTCACCACGCACGTTACCGTGGAGCAAGGGAAAGCGAAGCTGGCCGGATTCATTGCCGGGGCAATCGACACGGAGACGCTCATCTCGTATGCCCTCATGGATGTGCTCAACCAGAGTGAGTTTGGAGTCGAGTCAGGAGCGAGATGACTGTTGAGTTGAGTCGACTCAGGAGCGAGATGATTGTTGAGTCGACTCAGGAGCGAGATGATTGTTGAGTCGACTCAGGAGCGAGATGATTGTTGAGTCGACTCAGGAGCGAGATGATTGTTGAGTCGACTCAGGAGCGAGATGATTGTTGAGTCGACTCAGGAGCGAGATGATTGTTGAGTCGACTCAGGAGCGAGATGATTGTTGAGTCGACTCAGGAGCGAGATGATTGTTGAGTCGACTCAGGAGCGAGATGTGTGTGTGTGTGTGTGTGTGTGTGTGTGTGTGTGTGTGTGTGTGTGTGTGTGTGTGTGTGTGTGTGTGTGTGTGTGTGCAGCAACCAACAAGTACTCGTTTCATCTCTACGATGTCACGGATGGGAGTGCCCCTGTGCTCATGTTCGGTGCCAACCTCATCCGCAAGGGAAGCGGCATATTATCGGCCTTTCTCGACCCTGCGACCATTCCGCCGGGCGACAAGGAAGTTCAACCCTTCCCGGAGCCCTTCTGTTCTCGAACCTTTGAAGTCCATTGCAGGTATGCAAGGTCATAGTGGAATATCGGAACTCTAATGGCCTTCTCTCCCCATTTTGCGTCCCGGCAGTTGCTCTGGTTTGTTGCAAGTCTGTGCTTCTGGTTTCTGGTGGCTGGTTCTCAGTCCACTCCCCTGCCTTTAAACTGCCAATCTCGGTTAATATCCACCAGGTTCCTGGACAGTGGCAGTGCGTGGCGGCTGGTGTGGGCGCCGGTGCTGGTGGCGGTGCTGGTGGCGGTGGTGGCGGTGCTGCTGACGCTGATCGTGGTGTTCCTGGCGCGCAAGCAGGCGGCCATCAGCCGCGCCGTGAGGGAGGTGGAGCTCTGCACTGCCGTGCTCAAGCGCGCCAAGCGCTCCAAGAGCGAGACCGTTGCCAATCTGTCGCACGAGCTGCGCACTCCCATCGTGGGCATGCTAGGTTGGTGCCAACAAGTTACGCGCCCTGTGTTCATGTTCGACCTCCTCCTACTGCCATTTCTTGCCATGACCCTCCCCACCACGCGGCCCTGCTTCCCGCCTCCCGCTAGGGATGAGGATGATGGACGCCCTACCGGCGGAGAGCGGGCTGCCATTGCTTGCCTCATTCCAACATCATCCGCCCCTTCCTTCTGCCTCTCACCAGGCATGATGGAGGCGTTACTGGAGAGCGAGCTGGAGGGCGGGCAGCACCGGGACCTGACAACAGCCAAGGAGTGTGCAGCAGCCATCGTGGGGCAACTCAACTCCGTGCTCGACCTCGCCAAGCTGCACGCCGGCCGCCTCTCCCTCGAGACTCTCCCGCTCTCCCTGCGCCACTGCGTCGACATGGTTGCCCGCGACTTGCTGCCCGAAGCCTGCAAGAGGGGCCTGCACTGTGAGTGGCGTTGCATTACTGTGGCCCTGCGAGCCACTTTGAGTTGGCTGTTGAGAGGTCGTAAAAGAAAAAATAAACTGAACGATGAGAACCCCCGTTACTGATTCTCATCCCACCTGTGCCCCGTGCTTGGCAGTGGTGTGTCAGCTGGACTGCAGTGTGCCCGAGGTGCTGCTGGGGGATCCTCTGCGCCTCGCTCAGGTCGTCAGAGAGCTCATGAGTGAGTGCCGTTAGGAAGCGAGGATATGATAACCTTGTGCTTTTCTGCTTAAGTTGTCAGGGAGTTCATTTCATTAGTGAGTGCCGTTAGGCGACATACATTGGGTTTTGCTCATGTCGGCAGTTCCTTGTGCTCCCATTCTCCTCACTGTTGACATACATAGGGTTTGGTGCGGCTGCGGTTGCCACTGTTTCTGTCACTGTTTCTGCTGTCTCGGTCATTCTCGCTGTTGGTGGTGCTGCTGTTGTTGTCGCTGTGCTCGTTTCACAGTTCTCTCCTTTGCTATCACATCCCTCTCGCCCTTGCCCTCCCCTCTGTGTCTTCATCAGGCTGCCCTGTGGTCCGTCTCCCATCTCTCTGCCTGCCCTGTGGTCCGTCTCCCATCTCTCTGCCTGCCCTGTGGTCCGTCTCCCATCTCTCTGCCTGCCCTGTGTTGTGCTCACCCGCCCATCCCTGCCATCAGGCCATGCCATCCGCACCACTGTATCAGGCCACATGGCCTTCAGGGTGTGCTGCGTCCCCATGCCCCCTCCCACCACCACCACCACCACCAACGCCCAGGGGGCCTCGCCCCTCACCACACCCACGACTGGCAATGCCGTGACGTCTTCAGATGCTGCTGCTGTGGCAGCAGCAACTGCTGCGCGGCTGGATTTTCGTGCGGCATCGCATGCTGCTGCTGCTGCTGCGGTGGCATCGGGCTCAGCAGGCGGGGAAGGTGGGGTGCAGTGCAGGGAGTGGCTTGCTTCGTGGCTGGTTGAGGCCTGTCGTCCTTGCAGTGGCAGCAGTGGGGGCAGTGCCACCATTCCACCCGCCGCAGCAGCAGCAGCAGCTGCAGGATCAGAAGGAATAAGAGATGGGGAGGGAGGCAGGGAGGAGGCGGAGAGGGGGGTGGGGCAGGTGCAAGCGCTGCTGCGTGAGTTGGAGGGGTGTGTGAGTCGCTTCAATGATGGTGCTGTTGTGTGTGCATCGGTCGATACTGCTGCTGCTGCTGCTGATGATGATGATTGTGGTGATGGTGATGATGAGAAGGGGCGCGTGAATGAGTGGAAAGGAGGGGTGGAACCGGGGGAACGAGAGGAGGAGTCAGCAGTGCCGTCCGTATGGTGGGTTTGGAGGCAGTCAGAGTTCTGCGGGCGTGTGAAGAACCGACTGCTTGGGTCGAGAGGGGCTGAGTCAGGGTCGCAAGACACTGGCGGCGATGGGGGTGTAGCTGTCCCCTCTTCTCCCGCTGCCCCCTCTGCCGCCTCTTCTCCCTCTGCCCCTGCATCCGGTCATCCTGTTTCCCAGGTAGCAGCGGTAGCAGGTAGCAGAGAAGGCCATCAAGGAGAGGCGTGTGGAGAGGAAGGGGACAGCAATGAGGAAGAGGAGGGAGGAGAGGGAGGGGCGGGCAGAGGCGGAGTGGTGGTGGTGATGGTGTGTGAGGACACGGGCGGTGGTATACCACCGGAGGAGCTGCATTGGGTGCTGGACCCGGACGGGCAGGCAGCAGTGCAGGGCAGAGGAAATGTGCTGCTGCAGCGAGGGGACTCCAACAGAGGGGGCATGGTGCGTGGTGCAACCCATGCCATGCCCTCCTTGCCATGCCATGCCATGCCATGCCCGCCATGCCAAGCCGTACCCCCTGTCATGCCATGCCGTGGCATCTGGTGTGATACAACAACCTTTTTCTGCTTTCTGCTGCGATGCATACACACACACAGAAGCTCAGGCAGGGGCTTCCAGTGATCATTCATCCCGTCCTTTCTTCACCCATTGCTGCACTGCACTCTTCGTTCCATGCACACGCCTGGCACATTGCCCTTGCTCATTTCAAATCACCGTCACGGCCATTCCGCGTCTCCATCTGCATTCCTTCCCTTGCCACCCTCACATGCTCCGGGACGTGCCAAACGGGCTGTGCTCCCCCAATTTGTGCTTCTATCCTTGCCCCCCTCACATCCCTCCACCAGCACCCTCCACTTGCTTCGCCTCTGTCTCCCCTGCATGGCTCCTTGGACTTCTGGCCTGACTCTGCTGCACCTCCTTCTCAGTCCTCCTCTGCTCCTGCATGGGAGCCCTATCCAGTTCGCTTCCTGCTCTCCACAGGCCTGGTCAGTCAGTGTGCCCACACATCCGTACACATGCCATGCTGTTTCCTAGCACGTCAGGCGTGCACTCTTCTTCACGCACTGCTGTGCCATTTCCGTGTGCATGCGTCGCATAACACCACTGACCCTATGTGCCGCTATCATCTATCCACAATGTTGACTACTGAAGAGATGATGTGCCTCATCATGCATGTGTGTGCGTGTGTGTGTGTGTGTGTGTGTGCATGTGGGTGTGGTTGTATGTGTGTGTGTGCGCGCAAGGGCGGCAGGTGAAGCTAATGAGGGGGACCATCGGAATAGCAACGCAGCACCACGTGGGCACCTCTATCCTCGTCAGCCTTCCAATGGCCGCCTGCCACCTGTCAAAAACTGGTGTTGTTGGTGCTGGTGGCAGTGGTGGCGGTGGTTGCGGTGGTGTGGTGGCTAGCGGGGGTGCGAGTGTGGAGGTGCAGGAGTGGGTGGATCATCGCAAGGCCATCTGCTCGCTTGTGGCGGGCAAGACAGCGCTGCTGCTCGATGCCATGCCGCTCAGAGCACAGGTGCGGGTGCAGGATCCGCCTTGGTGTGTTTTCTGCTGCATCAGACCATCAGCCATTGGCCCTTGCTTCACTTGCTTCCCCTTCCTGTGCCTAGATTGCTTTGCTCCTCCTTACAAATCTCTTTTGCTCCTCTCCCCACGCTGTGTGGTTGCTCCTGCTGCCGTGTGAGCTGGCACCAGGCAACGGAGGCGTGTCTGCGCTACCTGGGAATGGACGTCACTCTGGCAGCCTCGCCCGCGCAGGCCATGAACCTCATGCACCACCCACCCACCACCACCACCAGCAGCAGAGGCGGCGGCGGCGGCGGTGGTGGTGGGAGTGTTGATGCCGGTGGTGGTGGAGGAGGGTGGGACGCAGTGTTTGTTGACATGGACGTCTCAGGCCCACTCTCAGGCCTCCACGTGGGCGCCCAGATTCTGCACCACACGGCTCGTGCTGCTGCGTGCTCTCAGGGTGCGGGCAAGGAGCGGGGTACAGAAGGGCAAGAGGCAGGGCGGGCAGTGGTGGTGCTGACGGGGGCGAGGGCAGACAGTGTGGAGAGCGAGCAGGCGGAGAGGATGGGGTTTGCGGCTGTGCTGCCCCACCCATGGCTCGTCACTCACACCGCTCACTGCCTGCAGCATGTGAGTGCCGGGAGAGGGTGGTGGTGTCAGCAGCCCCTTATGCACACACATTCGCTAAGTCTCCTACAGGTATCTCCTGTCGTCCATTCCAAGCTGCACGCTACTGTTTCACCTCCCCTTCCGTCCACTCCTCCATCTCTCCCTCGCAGCTCTTCTTTCGCGCTGCAGAGAGGCCGCCTGCCAGTCCACGTGGCGCCACTCCAACCACACCCACCGCCGCATCGTCAGCTGCCACTCGCACCGCCTCTGCTTCTCCTGATGCTCCCACCCAACCACTCGCCAATCGCTCCCCCAGACCCCCATTCCCCAGCGCCGCAGCCTTGGTTTCTCCAGGTGCGTCTGCCGCCGCCAGCCTGCCTCAGTCCAACAGCACCAACACACCTGCTGCCGCGGTGCCCAGTCCCTTATTGCTGCCCAGCGTAGCGCCAGAGGAGGCTCTGCGGGGGCTGGTGGGGCAGCAGGCGGTGGTGGTGGTGGATGACAACACTGTCAACCGCGCCGTCGCCAGACGCACGCTGCTCGCCCTCGGGGCGCTTGTGCACGTCGCCGCGGGGGGATCTCAGGCTCTGGACTGGTTGCGCCAGCAGATGGCTGCTGCCACCAGTGGGCAGGGGGGTCCGGGGCATCAGCAGCAGCAGCAGCAGCAGGCGGAGGGGCAAGAGGCAGAGAGTGCTGTGCCGCTTGTGCTGCTAGACCTTCAAATGCCCGACATGGACGGGTGCGTGTGGAAGCAGTGGGCTGCTTTCTACGTTTTTCTGTGTATGTGCCTAGGTCATATGTCTGCTGCTCTTTGCTGTTACCGTAGCAGCTTCATCTTTATCTCTAAACTCGCACGCTGTCTCACGTGCTTTCTTTCTTGGCTATGTTTTCACAGAGATCCCTTCAACCCATCACTGCACCCTGAATCTCCCATCCATGCCCCCCGCCCCGTGCCCGCCCACCCCCAACCAGCTACGAGACGGCGCGGCGCATCCGAGCCATGGAGGCGGAGGCGGCTGCAAGCAACGCCCCGGCGGGTGAAGCTCATGCGGGGGGCAGCAGGGGGGAGCGGCGGCGGTGGTGTGTGGTGGCGCTGACAGCGGATGTGGATGGCGATGTGCGGCGGGCATGTGGTCAGGCCGGCATGGATGGCGTCGTCGCCAAACCCATTGTGCCGCGCGACCTCCTCGCTGCTCTCAAGAATGCGGGCTACCGCAGTTAGTAGACACATGCATATATATGTGTAGGAGTAGCAGTGCTACTGTAGCACACACAGCACAACCTGTCGCACTTTCTCCACACCGGTAGGTAAAATCTCAACGCAGTGTAAAGTATCGTATCCTCAATTTGGTTGAGTAACATTCTGTGGTGCCAAGGTACCAGTTTAACCAAGTGGTGCTTTTGGTGAGGTAGTGCATGCGGTACTTGTGAGGGCACACCATACTTGTGAGGGCACACCATACTTGTGAGGGCATGTCAAGAATTGTATTCTTTATGTAACTGCATATAATATAGTTAGTGTAGTATCACTCCTATTGTTGGTGGTATACCCCCCTTGGCCACCATCCCTTGCCCTATATCTTGTATCTCTCTCTATATTGAAGCCCTTCTTTCTTGGCCAACTTCCTCTCACTTCCCACAACCCTAAGGTTCCCCTAGCTACTATTCTGACAGGGCACACCATACTTGTGAGGGCACACCATACTTGTGAGTGTGGAGAGTCACTCTACAAAGGTAGTGAGCTAGACTACGGGGGGGGGGGGGGGTTGGCACGAACTACTAGGAGTGATCGCAGCTTTGCTTGCGTTCCTTAGCACTTGCGCATTCACGGGAGAAGTTGGCAAGAGTTTCACTAGCAAAGTCAGAATTACAGAATGGTTAAACAAGCAATGACAGAATTGACTACATCAGGCACCTAGCAACCCTGCAGCTAGCCTGGTCGACAGCCAGCACAGCTTGGTCGACCGCCTGCCAGCGTTGCGTAGAGGAGCAGCGCCAGCACTGCAGAGAGGCGACCTGCCAACAGAGCAGGTCGACGGCGTGCCAACGTTGCAGCAGAGCGGCTGTCCAGCGTTGCCCCGTAGAACACAGCAGTGTGCACGCTCGCAGGTGCGCGTAGACGATTGGCCCGACTTGCATTGCTGTGCATCTGTCGGCTGTTGTCTGCGCCTGACGAGCCACATCGACTTCGGGATACCAACCCGAAGTCGCCTTCGCCATCGCGACCTCGACGACGTTCGCGTGCCTCCGCATAACTCGTCGAACACGTTACCCGGTCGACCTGGTTGACCATCAAGTGCTCCGGTCGACCACCAGTGCCTCTGGTCGACCATTGGGTCCCTCTGGTCGACCACCAGGTCCCTCTGGTCGACCACAGCTCCCATCGAGCTACCCCCTGGTCGACAGACCCCTTCCGTCGACCAGAACTGGCAGATGATGTCGCCGAGCTCCCCTCGTCGACCGCTGCTCAGTTGTCAGGTCGACGGATTGCTCCGTCGACCTCCCGGTCGAGCTGCAGGTCGACGGACTGCTCCGTCGACCTCCCGGTCGAACTGCCCCTCCTGGTCGACCGCCCACCCATCGCCCAGACCAGTCAGTTGCAGCTGTCGAGCTCCCTGGTCGACAGCAACACCACTGCGACCCCCTGCAGCTCGACCAAGCTTGCCGAGCAGCTCTCCCACTGTGAACGGTCGGATGCTACTCCCGTACATCCGACCAAGTCGTCGGCGTTGCCTAAGCGAGGGCGGGGCCAACACTCCATTCCCGTTAACACTCCCCTGCCGCGCTCACGCTTGGGCCTCCAGCCCACACGGCAGTACTCCACGGAGAAAACTCTTCCTCGGCGTGCACCCCACACACAGCACGCCGTCACCGCACCAGCCGTGCAGAAGGGCACGGCACCTATTGCTGCACCTCATCGTCGCCGTCGCCGACGTCGGCCAGACGAACTTGGCCGATGGCGACAGAGCACCGGTTGAAAGCCGGAAAATGCAGCGCCTTTGTCAGGAAGTCCGCCGGCTGCTCGGTGGTCGGGATGTACTTCAGCACGAACTTCCCACGCCTCACCATGTGCTGCAGCCAGGCGTAGCGTCGCTCCATGTGCTTGAGGTTGCCCGTCAGCCCCAAGCCCTCAGTGACCGTGATCGCCGACGTGTTGTCCATGCGGAGGACGGTCGGCTTCCCAGCGTCGAGCAGCTTGAATTCTGCTAGGAGGAAGCGCAGTCGACGCCCCTCCTTGCCAGCGTCCGTGGCCGCGACATACTCTGACTCGGTCGAGGAGAGCATCGCGCACTTGATGCGCTGGCTCGACCAGGAGATCGCGGCCCCTCCGAAGACGAACACGTAGCCGCCCGTGCTCGTCCGGTTCTGCTTGTCGCCTGCATCATCGGCGTCCACGTAGCCGATCAGCTCCAGGGACTCTGGTCCACCGCCGAACTCCAGGGCGGTGTCGCGGGTGTCAGCGACGTAGGCGAGGCAGCGGTCGACCTCGCGCCAATGCTGGTCGCTTCTCACCATGAGGCCGCTCCCCAGCTTGTTGCAGGCGAACGCGATGTCCGGCCTCGTCGTCGTCGCCGCGAACTGCAGCGAGCCAACCTTCTGCCGATACTCCTCCTCCTCGCGCTCCTGCGCTTCCTCGTCGTCGAACGTCAGCTCAGGGTAGGCGTCGACCGAGATCGGCGTCTTCGGGACTCGACCGCCCTGCTCCTCGTCGATGAAGCGCCTGCGCAGCTTGTCGGCGTAGTTCTGCTGGTGGAGCCACAGCTTCCTCGCTGGCCTGTCGCGCACGATCTCCAGCCCGAGGTACTTGACGACCGGCGAAATCTCGCGCAGCTCGAAGGCAGCCTCCAGCAGCTCCTTCAGCTCCTTCAGCATTGTGGTGCTGCTGTTGGCGGCGAGCAGGTCGTCGACGTAGACCAGCACCCAGCAGGTCACTCTGTCATCGCCGGCTTTGAAGTAGAGCGCCTCGTCGACCTGGCTCTTCTTCCAGCCAGCGCCCAGCAAAACACCGTCGAGAGCCCTGTACCACAACAGCGGCGACTGCTTCAGCCCGTAGAGGCTCTTCAGCAGCTTGCACACCCGGCTGGTCCCATCGTCGAAGTAGTCCGGCTGGTAAATGTAGAGCACCCTGTCGAGCTTGCTTAGCAGGAAAGCGTTCTTCATGTCGAGCTGCATCAAGTGGAGGTCGAGGACGGCGACAATGCTGAGGAAGATCCTCAGCGTGACGTAGCTGCTCACCGGCGAGTACGCCTCGTCGTAGTCGGCGCCGTACACCTGCGTGAAGCCCTTCACGACCAGCCTAGCTTTCTCGCGCTCGACGGTGTCGTCGATGTGGTACTTGGTCGTCAACACCCACCGGTTCTTCATGATTTTCACCCCGCGTGGGCGTTCGACCAGCTCCCAAGTGCCCATGCCGATGAGGCTGCGGATCTCTTCTTCCATGGCGGCCTTCACCGCCTCGCCCTTCCAGCTCGCCAGCGCCTCCTTCACCGTCATCGTGGCGATGTCCCAGCGGTGTTCGGGGTCGGCATGCACGTCGGGGTCGAGCTCCAGCAGATCTTCATCCTCCTCGGCGTCGTCGTACAACAGGTCGTCGTCGACCTCGTCGTACACCGTGGTGAAGGCAGCTGGCGGTAGGCAGGCGTGGAAGCTCAGCCGTTCCGGCGGCCGTCGAGCTCGACCTGTGCGTCGCAGCTCAGGCTTCGGGATCGGCACCTCCACCACGTCGCTGTCGGTGGACTCTTCACCCGCCGACCGCTCCCCTTTCTCGTCGACATCATCATCGTCGACCAGCTGCTTCGACCCTTCGACCAGCTGCTCGCCTGCTGCTGACTTCGACAGCTCCCCTGTCGACCGCCCCGGCTGCTGCTCCCCTGTCGACTGCACCCCTGTCGTCGACGGCTTCTCATCCTGGTCGACGAGCTTGGCGCCTTGTCGACCGCCGGCGATGCCACTGGCCGGCGCCACAGGCGACGCCTCAAGGCTCCCCTCATCGCCGGTGGCCGACACAGGTGTCGACACGGGCTGATCTGCGACGGGGGAGGGAGGATCAAGAACAGGGGGAGGTGGAAGAACCTCCACAACATCCTCATCAGCAGGCTCGTCAACGTCGGCGAGCAGTGGAACCGTCGCCGTCGAGGTGTCCGTCGGCGGGTGTGCCTGCGTCAGCCCCGATGCCGGCCCATACTACGCCTTCCACACCTCCAGCGACAACGTCTCGTAGAAGATCACCTCGACCGACGTGACCACCTTGTTGTCGGTCAGGTCGAGCACCTCCCAGCCTTTGCTCTCCAGCGACACACCCAGGTGAAGCCCCCAACGAGCTTTCGGCGCCAGCTTCCCACCGCGTTGCTGCTCGGGAATCATGAACTGCACCATGCAGCCCCACACCTGCGCCAGCGTGAGGTCGGGCTTCTTCCCGGTCAGCAGCTGGTACGGCGTCGTCCCCGGCGGCGTCGTCGACCGCTCCAAGCAGTTGCGCACCCATACAGCCTGCCGAAGAGCGAGGTGCCACCAGTGGTGCTGCACGCCCATGTGCAGCAGCATCGTCCGCACGGACTCTACGACCGTGCGCATCTCCCGTTCAGCCATGCCGTTCTGCTGCGGAGTGTAGGGGCACGTCAGGTCGTGGACGATGCCCTTCCCGTCGACGAAGTTGGTGAAATCCTTCCCGAGGAACTCCCCTCCTCGGTCGGAGCGGAGCAACAGCACCGACTTATTCGTCTGCCGTTCGACCAGCACCAGCCACTTCTGGAACTCCCGCAGCACGTCGCTCTTCTTAACGACCGGCATTGCCCATACGAACCGAGTATAGCGATCCTTCAGCAGCAGGAAGTACAAGCTGCCATCCTTGGCAGCCGCCCGAAATGGCCCGCACACATCAATGTGCACGACAGCCAGTGCATCCTCGGCGTCCGAGCCCTTGTCGGGGAAGGTGTGCCGCGCCAGCTTTCCTCCGATGCACGAGACACACGGCGGGTCTGCTCCGGTCAACGGCGTGATGTCGAGCCCAGTAGCAACTTCATGCTTCGTCGAGCTCTTGATCGTGTTGACGCCGACGTGCGCGAGCCTCGCATGCAGCCGGTCAGGGGTCGACTTGGTCGCCGAGACGATCGTCCGCAGAGCCACCACCTCGGTCGACGGCGACCGCGCCGAGCAGGGGCGAAGGTCGGTGCAGAGGACTCGTCCGGTGTAGCGTGCTCGACCGAGCACCTCCCCGGTCGC